TATTTACAAATTTGTGTTTGCATGCGTTAAGACTGAAAAATCAAAGAATACCACATGTAAGATAGAAAAACAAATGAGTTTTACAAAGGTTTGTGGTGGCTCCCGTTCAATTACCTTAGTCTAAGATTGTGAGGAGTCTGAGGTTGAGAGATGGGCTTCTTTGGTGGGTTACGAGTTAGGATCCTTGGTCTCCCTTTGGGAGCCAAACCTATGCACATTGCTTTTTGGAATTTGGTGATTGAAAAGGTTCATAAATGGCTTGCCTCATGGAAAAAAATCTTCTTTTCAAAGGGTGGGAGATCAGCTCATCCAATCGATCTTGAACAGAATCCCGATTTATTTCATGTCTTTCTAGAATTAAAAAGTTGTTTAGAGATTTCTTAGGGGAGGGGGATCCCAGTTGATCAGTTGAGAGATTGTTTCAAAACCAGTCTTGTTGGGAGGGCTAGTTTAGTAATTTATTGCTTCTTAATGAGGTCTTGCTCGTAAAATGGCTTTGGCACTTCCGCTCAAAAGATCTTGCTCTTTGGCAAAGGATAACTGTGAGCAAGTATGGGTGTAATCCTTCTTAGTGGATTTCCAATTATAGGATCAAAGATACTTTCAGGAACCCATGGAGATCTATTGCCCTAAGGTATTCGAGTTTCTCTAGCTTGGTCAGGCTTATTGGAGGATCAGGCGTCTATTTTCTTTTGGGAGATTGTTGGCTGTCTCTTTCCTAGACTTTATCACTTGTCCTCGTTTAATTTGTGCCTATTACATCTATTATTTTTCTCACTGTAGATTCTTTATCTTTCAACTTTAGCTTCAACCATCTGCTGTCTGATCGTGAGTCTTTAGATGTTTCTTTGCTCTGGCTAATTTCTACCCTCAAACGGGAGTTAGGGATATTCAGTTTTGGTCTCTTAGCCTGTCCATGGATTTTCCTTGCAAGTCCTATGTTTATCTTCTTAATGGATCACCCTTCTCATGGGTTCTTTGTTCTCCTTGTTCTGGTAGGCTCAAATCCCCAAGAAGGTGAGAATTATTTCCTTGCAAATCATCCATGGGAGGATTAATGTCATGGATTGCATACAGAGATTGTCTTTTAGTGGTGTAGAGTGTGTAAAAAGGTAGCGGAAAGTCTGGATCATGTTCGGGGAGTGCCAATTTGCTTAAGCAATTTGGGACGACTTCTTGGGGACTTTCAATATGCAGTTGGCTCATGGCAACTGGTGTAGGCTTGTGTGGAGGACGCTTTGTTCCATCCCCTTTTCACGATAAAGGGACATTTCTGTGGCAAGCAGCCTTTTTCATAGCTTTATGGAACATTTGGCAAATAGGATAGTCTAATTAGGAAAATTGCTTTGGGGCTTGGCTAAGTTCAATGCCTCTCTTTTGGCTCCCGTCACCAAGGACTTTAGTGGTTATCCTTTATCCCTCATTCTTTTTAATTAAAGCCCATTTTTGTAATTATTTATGTTTTATATCTTTATTTCTTTTGCTTTGGTTGCCTTTAAGCTCCTTTTGGCTTGGGCTGTCCTTCTTTTTGTATTGCTCTCTTGGATTCTTTCGTTTTTTTCTCATTAAAGCAAAAAAAATGCATTTGGTGGCTCACGAACAACTCAAAATTTCAAAACTCAATTTCACCCATTCAGTCCTGCCACTAAATTATCACCTTGTTCCATCGACAACCAGTCTTAAAACATGAGGAATGAAGACAATATCTGCATACAAGACCAAGGAAGAGTAAAAAGGATGCATAAAACTTACAAGTGCTCCTTGAACTAGATCAAAGGCCTGTGAAAAAAGCATCATAGCCTTAGTTAAATTAAAAACAAATAGGTAAAAGTTTAAGTTCTTTGATATTACCAAGCATTAAATCATAAAACAGAAAGTTTTACATTGACTGGCATTATAGCCTTGTAAGCTTTAGAGGATAATAGATACCAAAATTTCAGAAGCCCTTTTTGTAATATTTTGATGTGCAACTGTCTCATCTAACAATGCTGCACGAATAGATGAATGTTTAATTGCAATGCTGGAGCAACCATAAACTGATCGAGGCAAGCGCACGGCATTCTGCAGAAAACACATAATAATCATTTTTCAACTAGAAACCAAACTTTCTTAGGCATGTCTTCTACTATTGCCACACAGATGAATTCTGTTTAAGTAACAATTTTACTCTAAATAGCAATTAAGATATCATTTTAACACCATTTGTTTGAAATAAGAACTCAATCATCATGGTCAGCGTGATTGAGCAAACGACCAAGATTAGGTGCAAAGGCATAAGTAGCTTGACTTCAAAGACCTCCCCAACGAAATAAAAGTTGATCTCAGAACAGCTGGCAGTTTAAAGTGAAAATGTCATTATTCCTCTCCGCTAAAAAAATACCGAACCATGTAAGGGTTTGGTTAGTGGACCTAGAAACTTATAGATAATAAAACAGTATCCTGCAATCTCCGTTTTCATAAACTACCATAATCACCGATACGAGCATGACTCGGTTTGACATAGCTTGGAATACCAACCTCTTCCTCAAGTTCGTGACCTTCAAGGTAAATAATCAGATTCTGGAAGGACCACTGGGTTGGAGACAGAACTCTAGAAAATGCTTTTCCTGATCTTTTCATAGTTTTAACGAGACAGGATGATACTATAGCTAGCTGCTGGAACGAAGAACATCAAGCCTGGGACAGTGGGACTTGGGTTTCAGTAGGGGGCTTTTTGATAGAGAATTTGAAAGCTGGTTGGGCCCCACAAACCAGCTAGATACGGTTGGTTTGGTAGATTCAAAAGATGGGGTTATTTGGAACATTGACACTTCGGGAACCTTCTCAACCAAGTCTACCTTCATAAACATCACCAAGCCTTGTAAAGTCCCAGCACCCCCTTCTTAAGGCTATTTGGAAGTCTAAGCTTCCAAAGAAGATAAAAGTGTTCCTTTGGTCAGTGGCTCGCAGGAGCTTGAATACTCATGATCGTCTCTAGAAAAAATGCAGAAATTGGTCCCCCTCTCCCTCGGTATGCCCTCTCTGCCTTAGTGAAGAAAAAGCATTAGATCACCTTTTGCTTCACTGTCCAACAACCTACAAGTGCTGGTCACAAGCTTTAAGATTGTTTGATCTTGAAATCTGTCTCCCCCGTAAGGTTGATGAATGGCTCTCCAAGCCCTAAATGGAGGCTGCTTCCGTAATGCTAAAGGAACTATGAGGATCTTTGCTGTAGCTGCAATTTTGTGGAATTTACGGAGGAAAATAAACAATAGAACTTTTGAGAACAAGTCTTTAGATTTTTCTATTTTGTGGAGCAATGTACCACTTACTACTCCGAGGTGGTGCTACAGTTTCAGCAAATTCTTTTGTAACTACTCCTTAAACTCTATACTCCAAAATTGGAGGGCTTTCTTGTAATAGCTCCATTGGGGAGGGGTTCTCTCTACCCCTTGCCGTCAGGCTGTTCTTCTTTTCTGTGATTAATACATACCTCTCATGTCTCTTATTAAAAAAATGCATGACTAAACGAAGCACTATTATCTTGGAGGGTTGAAAGCTTGATGATAGCCCCACAATTGTGGAACTAAAAGAACTCTACACTAAGCTCGCAGTTAAAATTAAATTTAAAAAATCCAATTGGTAAACAATTTTTACACCAAGCTTGCATGCGAGACTGATGTATTTGTTTACTTTTGTCTTTTTCTCTTGGTCGGTCCGAGCCGAATCAAATCAGATTAAAGTAATTAGGAAAAATCCTTGTGCGCGTTTTATCTTCTCTGGGTTTTTTACTTTTACGTGAACGGAATACTTTTGACTTCTGACAAAACAGAAAAAAATGGGCCAATTCTAGCCTAGCTAAGACACTTTGAGATGGTCAAGTCGATGGTTGCATCCCAGTCCGTAATTGTTGAACTAAAAAAACTGTTAAAAATCGAAACACGCTAAGACTGCGCGTAATTTATCATACTGGCTTTTTCTTTCTCGAGAATATTAAGAGAATTCGAAACCACGACCACCATTTGAGCTATGTTTCGGCTAGCATGTTGGTATGACAGAATGATAAAGAGAGACAACATATGTACTACATCGACAGTTTCGATTATTGCGTTGAAAGCATGACGTTAATATTGCAAACTAAGGACTAGGGAGAAATCATCTAGACAATTTTTCTTTTTGCATTTACTGTTTAAATTTAATTTTTTAAACGAAAAGGTACCTGGAAAGGATGGTTTAAACTGGTCGGATTAGCAGGCCAGCTGATCCGGCGATCGAATCGAAAGCTCGGGCTTCTCACCGCTGAACCAACGGCGGATCCGGAAAATGTCGCCGCGAAACTCGCAACTATCGGCATTGCACGGCGAATAGACAAAAATGAGGAATCGTAAGCCGATATCTTCCTTTTGAGAGGGAAGATTCGGAGGGGCAACTTTTAGGTGGATAATTCAGAGAGGAATTGTGGGGAAAATTGGTGCACAGAACGGGATGAATGACGGTAAATTAAATTAGGAAGAGGAAATGAAAACGAGAGGCGGAAAAAGCGAGGTTGGCGCTCTGACGGGGCGCGCCAAGTTAGCTGGGCTTAGACCATCGAGCGACGCGCGGGAGACTGTGTGGCATGTTTAACACCTGCACGACGAAATGACTGCCTTGCCTTGCATTGCCTATGGTCGGTGATTTGTCCTTGTGAGTTGTGACACTTTAAAACTAAAAAACAACAAAAAGAGCCCACCTCCTAGCTGAACTGGTGTATGCATCTTCGGTGGAATGGTAAATGTTCTAATCCTCCTCACCTGTAATTCAACTTGTTTGATCACACAAATTGATCAAGTTCGGACCAACGAGGCTAGAGCACGGTCAATTTCAACGCTCAAATCAGTCTTAATCTGATTTATTACTTGGGAACACGAAATATTGCATACCTAAAAAGTAGAGTGGGTTCCTATATGTATAAGACGCAACATCATAATCATCACTCGTCCTTTACCAAGGCGTTAAAATTACATGGATGTAGTATGATTTTCATTCTATAGGTGAGTTTAAATTATAGTGTAATTGAATGAAACATAGTAACATTATCAAATAAAAAATGGAGCCATCGTTTAAATAAACTTTATAATTAGTCAATATTGAAATTGTATTCAAGTATTGGTTAAATAAACTTTGTTTGATCCAGAAAAAGACCAACCTCGAAATCCACGTAGGTCGAAGTGAAATAGATGATCTTCCTGAGCCTCCGAAGAACCTGCGAAACAAGGTTAGAATCTGACGAGCAAGTTAGCTCTTATCCGATCTAACTCAATGAATGCAAATGGATTCGCATACCTTGTATTGAGAGCAAAAATCTCTATTTATAGAGATTGGATCTGACAGAAGTCCCGACATAGGGCTAACGGTCGTCCGACCGCCCGTAAAACGTGACGTGTTGCCCTTGAATGCGACTTTAGGTCGGCTCGGATCATCTGCACAATAATATAACGGAGGAAACTAGCTCAGCTCATGCCAAGGCATCGACCTGAAAGGACTTGAGCAAATTGGTATACTCTAAATAATTGTATTCCAATATTGATTAAATAAACTTTATAATTAGTCGAGATTGAAGTTGTATTCAAGTATTGATTAGCCGTGCAGATTAAGACCGACAAAACTAACTAAACTCGTGAGTGAGTACATATTGAATCCTATAGTTATTGTACTTGAAACAAAAAAACTCATGGTTTGGACATAAAAAAGATAGACTATATTCGATGGGTCCAATTTAAATTGTATAAACTAACCCAATAAGTTAAATTTGATGAATGGTTTAAATCGAGCAGACCACTAGCCCATCTATCGGGTTCGACCTCCAAATTTTCGGGTTGACCCGACCCAACCCGGTAATACCTTTATTTATATATATATATAATAATAATTTATATATTTTAAATTATAAATATATCAAAAAAAATTTATCTTCAATATCAACCCTCCATTAATTTTAATCCTAGTGGTTAATTATAGGTTAGAACTCTCCACCTTTTGATTTTGAATCTCGCTTCCACTCAACTTTCTCTCCTCCATTTTCTTCCCTCATTCAAGCTCTCCGTGGCCAGCCTTCATAGCTCCGTCGCCGTCGGCTGCAACTTCCATCGCCGTCCATCTCTCTTGTTGCAGCCCGTTGTCGTCGTCGCGGGTCAGTTATTTGTTTTATATTTTTGTGACATAGTTGTATAAAATAGGAGCAACTTTTCATTTAGAGATTTTGATTATTCTTCGTGAACCATGTTGTACTTTAAGGTTAGAAAAATATATGGGAGAAAAGAAAATGAATAATTTGATAAAACAACCGACCTGATTCGAAAATTTTGGGTTAGATTGAACGTCGATTTTAGACCAATCAGTTTTCACATATATTCGGGTTCGTTCAAAAAATACCTCTAATCCGACTCAATCCAACACTCCTACCAACAATCCATCGGTTCGGTTCAGTTGTTTTGGTCGATTCGAAATTGGTTCGACTGTCGTAGGAACGGTGTTGGTTCTGGTATTTATCGTTGACTGGCAGGCAAGCAGCTCTGGCAGGCAAGCAGCTCTGGCAGTGAACAGTTAAATGTTAGTTTCCATAGCGCCTTCATTTTTATCTGTGTTCTCTTTCTTTACTGTTGATTTGTTTCTGCCCATCTCCCTCAGGCCTCAGCCAACATCTGCATGCTGTTGCAGTGAAAATGACTCATTTGGCCGATTCCCGGGTACTCACTAACAAACGTATGCCTGTGATTTGAGAGCAAAAGATGCATAATGGATACTTCTTCAAAGTTGAAACCCAGGAAGGTATCATTTAATAAAATGTTATACTGGATTGGATTGTGTGTGGAGTTGAACCCTCGATTGATCTATTACTATTTATTTATTTTTTTTGGGTGGTGTTTGTTCCTTACTAAATTTCGATTTTTCAGGTTTGTGGGTTGACCTAGCCCGATAAATTTACCTATACGGATGGATATGGAAGATTATGAAATGAAGATCTTTTAAACGATCCAATTCTGTTACGTTCTTCTACCTCCACGTAAGAGGAGAGAAAGATGCAAGACTCAATTCAACTTAAGTCCGAGATCACGCTGGGCCAGCGAGTCCACTTTGTCGGTGATCCCCGACGTACTGGAACTGTGGCTTTCGTGGGAACCTTGGAAGGATATTCAGGAGCCTGGATTGGAGTGGACTGGGACGACAACAATGGCAAGCATGATGGCTCCATCAATGGAGTTCGATATTTCGAGGCGAAGTCAGAACGATCTGGTTCTTTTGTTCGAGTCCAAAATCTGAGTTTCGGCATTTCGCTGCTTCAAGCATTGGAGCTCAGATATAGAGGCGACTCTACCAAAGAAGAAGAGGGTATGTATCTGCACGATCAATCTATGTCTAGCTGCTGCTAGCATGGCAGGGTGATGTGGTCTATGTAATCTTACTTCTTAAACTCAATATGTATTTTTAACTTTGACAGTTTTACTGGAATAACTGCATTCATTTTTTTACTACGGTACTCCATGTGTCTGTCTTGCTGTTCCAAATTGAGATATATCCCCCATTAAAATTATGTTTAATTTGCTACTTTATGCTGCATGTCTTGTACTGTATGCTTCCGATATGCTAATTAATGTACGTTTACTAAGAACAAAGTGCACTATTGTTCAATGCGTAATCAGTTGTTGTACTTAACTACCTGTCAACATTTACATAAGAGCCACGGGTTTATTTTATATAATTCCTCGGTTGCTTAAAGTTATTGGATATGGGTTGTCCTGCATTGCTAATTTCTCTCTTGCAGATGAAATGTATGTGCTCTCAGCTAGTGACAAGCGTGTATCTATTCAATTTGTGGGTAAAGATATTATTAAAGACAAGCTTAGTCGTTTTGAGGAATTAACTAGTGTATCCTTGTCTTATATGGGTGTGAGCTCTCTTGGAAACCCATGTCAAATTGGCTCTGTGTTGCCAAGTAAGTTTCTTGCCCACAATGTAATTTACATTTATCTTCTCAACTGATTCAAATACCTTGTTGATTTTTAAGTTGCTGTTTCTATGCAGACGTGCACCTTGTGTATTTTTTCTCGGTCATTTTTTTGGATAAGAAACATTGTATTAAACCAGAGTAACAATATGAACTAAAAAAAAAAAACCAGAGTAGCAATAGACTATACTCGGATGTTTGGAGCTAAGCAGTGTTTTCTTTTTTTTTTGGGATAAGAAACCGAACTTTTCATTGAGAAAAATGAAATCAAAACAGAAATACAAGGACATACAAAAACAACATCCCTGAAGAAGGAAGTCAGCCTAGAGAAAGAGTTTCCAATCCAAAAGAATATGACCTAACTGATTATTACAAAATAAATTCGAAGCAGACCCCATAAAGTGACATTAAATCTTACGAGGTCTCAAACAGACTCCTACTTTCTTTTCACCCCTTAAAGATTCTATGGTTTCTTTCCAACCAAATCCCCCATAAAATCCCAAAGAACCCAGCCTGCCAAAGGAACCTTCCTTTCAGGGAGATTGATGTCTGCTCTTTAAAATTTGAGGCCAAGCTTCTTTTGATGAACTTTATTAGAGCTTTCTTCGGAGTTGTTAGGAAGAAAGAATACAATATTTCAGGGAGTGGAGAGATTGTTAGCTGTTATTTTGTGGGATAATCTTGATGGGCTTTAGGGAGAATCGTTTTTTTTGGTATCTATAGCTTGACATACTATTGCACTAATTGGGGAGCTTTTTGTAACATTATTATTGTAGGATTTTCTCCATTTTTGTTTGTTTCATTCTATCATTGAAATTGTTTCTTATAAAAAGAGGGTTCTTTATATTCTTGTGTTTTTGAGAGATTTAGTTGGAAATAACTAGACCGTCTTTATACTGAGAAGGATATGCATTGTTCAAAAGGCCATCCTTTCGAACCTTCATTTGGACTTTCTGAGAAACGAAGGGATAACTAAAGCCTGATTTATTTATATTTTAACAATTATGAGACTTCTACCTTGAAACTTCTGAAAGAATATGAACTATTGTCATAATATTTGTATGGTGATTTGGTTTTTGATCAGATTTTTTTTTTGATAAGAGGTTTTTGATCAATGATGTATAACTATTTTATTTAGCAAGTAGATTTCCTATCTTATCTTTTTTTTTTATCTCTTTAAAGATTTTTTTAAAAAAATATAAAGCAATTCCCTTTTTGGCCCCTCTTGTGTGTCCCCTTCCAGTTCAAAGGACAATGTTGATCAACATGTCTGGCCATTTGTTCAAAAGATAGGGCTAGAGTGATTTGGTTAAATGCTATACAAGTCTTTAGGTGGTATGGGAGGAAAGGAATGACAGAATATTTGATGCAGAAATCTGGGATTTGATATCCTCTTGGTGTTTGCTTTCACTTATCATTATCATTATTTTGGTAATTGTTTGGTTTCTTCCATTCAAGACAATTGGAACAACCTTTTGTAAATTGCAAAATAATATCTAAATATCCTCTTGTCCTGTTGCTATTTAAAATCCTATTGTGATCATATTTGTCTCATGTGTAATGTCTTCATTTCAGATCTAAAGCAGCTTGACTTAACTGGAAATTTGCTATCAGATTGGAAGGTACGTTTTGAAGAAAACCATTCTTGTTCACCCTTTTAAGGTACTCACACTGAATATGTACGGATTAACTTGCAATTAACTGCTTTTCAATATTATTACTGCCAGCAGTATTAGATTTCACCATCGGTCTTTTTTATTTTTTCAGTGAATACTTTGGTCGGGTTTATTTAGGTTGATCGGTTGTTTACAGCTTTAGGGTTAAGATTTGGTAGGACTCGTTGTACTCTGTTTCGCTCAAAAGGTGAGGGTTGTCTGTTAGTTTTTTATTAAGGTGAGGGTTGTCTGTTAGTTTTTTATATGTGGTTTTATAAAGTCAATTAGTACATCGCATATATGCCCTTTCCCAAGGGCCAAAGTGGTGAGTTGTAGACTTAAATGTCTTTGAGGTTTGGTCACTATCGTGCACTGTTGGTAGTTTGGATACCCTGCTGGACAATCATTTCAATCTACTTCCATCAAAGAAATAAAAAAGATAGAAAGAAAGAAAGAACGAAAGCATATTTCTGTTGTTTTCCAAATTGTAATTGCTTTGTTTGTTGGCAGTTTGGTGGTCATGAATATCGTTGTCTTATTGTCAATTCCATCTATTACTGCAGGATATTAGCATCATTTGTGACCAGCTACAAGCTCTTACATCCCTCATCTTATCAAACAACTTATTGTCACGTGATATCTCTGGGCCCCTACAACTGAAACACATTCGTATTTTAGTTCTAAACAATACTGGCATAATTTGGATGCAGGTTAGTTGTTAGCATCATGGAGAGAGAGGGAGATATATGTATATTTTTTTTCCTTACCCTTTCTATGTTCAAATTATATCTGGAGTGTAATTTTGTATGACAGGTTGAAATACTTAAGCAATCACTGCCAGCAATTGAAGAACTACATCTGATGGGAAATAATATAAGCGCAATAACGGTATTGATTTGAGATCCTTAAATTTCGTAGTTGTTGGAAGAAAAAATAATAATTTAGTCTCTTGTTGCAGTTGTCTTGCATTAATGATTGATTTCATTTGTTTATTTTTGGTTTGACATCCCTTCTAAAGTCTTGAAAAAGGGGAAATAAGTGACTTTTCTACTAGAAAGGATAGTAAGGGAGTTAATAGAAGTCCATTTATATTTAGACCCGATAAAGAATATGCTCTCAAGGAACTAAGGATGGATGAATAAGGAAGTATTAATGGTGAGGTTTCCCATTTGTGGAAGTGGACAACAGCATTTGAACAGTAAGCATAGTTACAGTTGCTGAGTAAGTTTCCTTATGAATAATTGTTATTGAGGTTACAAAAGATATAATTGTTAAGCTCCTGTTTTTATAAAGGGGCGATTGAATTGTGTAAAACACTTTCAGACTCAATTCAGAGAACAAGTTTTGTGAAAGAGTTGAATATCTCTTACAAGATCTGGAGAATTATGCTGAAGATGCATTGGTCTTTAATAAAGAGAATAGATGACTCAATTAATGCAATATTGATTTTGTTAAGATGATGAAGTAGATAGGACATAACACTGGACTTCTCATCTATGGAGTCCCCATCTGAGTAATTAGACCAAATTTAGATGCTCCGTGTAGAAAGATTCTTCTGCAAACTCGTTGAAAATGGAAAGTGACGACAAGTAGCCTCTTGACTTTATTTGTTTGGTAAATAGTCTGGATTCAAGATGAATCAATGAGTATTCCTTTTTTTTTTCTTTTTTTTTTAAGTACAACAACTTGAAGATATGGGGATTCCGACCTCGAGGAAAGGAGTACATGCCAATTACCGCTGAACTATGCTCACGTTGGCGAATCAATGAATATTCTTAAGCTTGAAATAATGTTGTAGTCTTTCAATGTCTGTGAGGTGCAGGAATGAATCAAATAAGGGAAGAATTTTTTTATTTTCATTTTTAAGAGAAATAAATATTTCATTGATAAGATGAAATAAAAAAAAAGAAGCCAAAACCCCAAAGAGCGGGGATTACAAAAAGGTCCCCCAGAATAAGAGAAGGATTTATAAAGTCAATTAATCAGTTTATAATTGATACAGTTCACTTAGTTCTATGCAACTTTGTCACTCTTTTGACTGTAAATCTGTGTTTCTGTTGAGATCTGTTTTTCAGCCTGTGTCATCCCCTATGGTCCAAGGATTTAATCTTCTGCGACTTTTGAATCTTGAAAATAACCGTATAGCTGAATGGAATGAAATCTTGAAACTTTGTCAATTAAGAAGGTATCGTCTTTTATTTTGTTCTTTCTTCTATTGGGATAATTGGCGGTTGATGAACCCTAAGCTTATTTCACCATATTTGGAACCTTTGACTATGCTATCAGCTTGGAGCAGATTCAGTTGAATAACAACAAATTGAGCCGTATATTTTATCCTTGCTTGTATGAATTGAACGAGTTATTTGGAGGTGTTGAATCACCGGGAGACAATTTTCCATTCCAAAATTTGCGATGCCTCCTTCTTGGTAGATCATCAAGGCTCTTTAACAATTGATATCTCTTTATAGATTGTGTTAGTTAGTTCTCTGATTTCTTTTGTTTCTCTATATACTTCAGGAGGCAACAACATCGAGGATTTTGCCTCCATCGACTGTTTAAACTCATTCCCTCAGTTGATTGTAAGATTTCAATATATATGCACTATCTTTTATTCCTTTTCGAATTGAAGTTATTGGTAATTTCAATTCTTGATCGAGCTGTGCAATTATTGAAGAAGATTTAACTTTTGGATACTTCATATATTATTAACAATACAAGGATAGTTGTTATAGTTGAATTAATTTTTTTAAAAATTTTTATTGATGAATACAGTTGAATTAAAAAATAATAACATTGTTCTTTGTCGTTCACTTCTCTCCATAGTGTTATTTATTCATTTTCTTTTTCCTTCAAGGACATCAGGCTCTCAGAGAATCTAATAGCTGATCCTGGAAGGGGTGGGATTCCCAGATATGTTTTAATTGCACGATTGTCTAAAGTTCAAATAATAAATGGGAGTGAGGTGGTTTGTTAGCATTTGAAGTCCTTTTTCTTTTCCTTATCATTACATTGTTGTTAACCCGAGGACTTTACCTCATATTTTATAGGTAACTCCTCGTGAAAGAAGAGACTCTGAAATACGGTATGGAAATTAATATTTTTTGTGCTTACTGCTTGTCTATTTCGTGTGCATTATTAGTTTCCTCCCATTTTTTGTAATTTCATGTCATTGGATGAAATTGTTTCTTTGTGACATATGAAATTGTTTCTTTAAATGCATCACTAGTTCATGACATATCCTATGCTCAGACCACTTGGCGGTAATCTTTTAAAAGTTCAATAGAATCAGTCTATGCTTTCAAGGTTGGAAATGGAAAAAGAATCATTGGGAAGACAGATGGAAGGGTGATGAACTGTTCAAAGAGACCTTTCTTTGTGATCTGGCCTTGATGACTGTGGTCATTTATCAAGTTCTCTTTTAAGATGTCAAGTTATTATCAAGAAAAATCATATTCTATTATTTTTTTTTAACAGTAGACGAACTTTCATTGATGGAGGAAAAGGAATAACATTATTCAAGGATACAAACTCCCAAATGAATGAAAGAGAGAAACAAAAAATAGAATATAAAACATAGGACAAAACTACAAAGGAGAAAATCATACTAGGTGAATTGGAAGAGAAAACATCGGAAAGAGCACACCATTGAGAGGCTTTGAATTTTGCAATGTTTAAGCATTCTAATGACGGACGACTAGAGTCTTCAAATATCCTTTGATTCATTCGATGGAAGAAAAATCATATCCTTTTAAGAACTTATCATTCATGCAATGTTATAAATTTCAGGGTAAGTAGCTGTCTTTTTGTCATTTATTAGTAGAATAGAAAGGCCAGTTTATTCAGTGACTTCGATCCTTCTCTTACTTCTTAACTTTAAACGTTTATTGCTATGATCCGTGGTTTCATGCTTTGCCATTATTAAGATTTACTTGTGGCGATGGGGGCATGTGTGTCGGTGTGTGTTTGGCAGAGGTCATAGCAGAACTAGTAGTTTTGTTGCGTAAAACCTTGCCATCTATTTTCTGCAGCTACGTACGCATGGTTATGTCAAAGTTGGATAGCAATCCTGAGGAAACATTAAGGCTACATCCTAGGTACCTGCATTCGATTAAAACTTAATTATTTCTATGAGATGTGGTGTATCTTTCCATATTTTGAATAACAAAAGATTAGAAAGTGCACGAACTTACCCCTCGCCATAGGCCAGACGACAATTTCTGTTTATTCATGTTGCTGCTGATGCTGATAGACGTATGCATCAGGTTTGAAGAGCTTAAGAGTTTTCATGGGATTGAAGATAACAGATTGTCAGTCGGACCTGCTGGACCCCAGAAACTGGCTTCTGGCCTCATATGTATGACTATGAGTGAATCTTGAACTTTTAAATATTTGACATTTTAGAACCTCTCCTGAATGGTTGTCTGATAAATTTATCCAGCAATCACTCTAAAGTGCGTGGGAGCATCAATTGGTGAGAAGCCACCATTGACAAAGAAATTACCACCCACTACTTCAGTTACTGTTCTTGCCTTCTAACATACTGTTTTTCTGCTTCGTGTTGCTTAGTTTCACCTCTAAATGACCCCTGTTCCTTCTAGGTTGGCAAGTTAAAGATGCTTTGTGAAAGCTTTTTCAAACTGAAATGTATCAAGCTTAAGTTGTATCTTCAAGAACAGGTTTGGCCCCATATTCACTTTTGAAAACCCGCAAGTAATCTAATAGCCACCTGAAACTAAACTTGCTTACATTCTCAGGATTCGCCCGTGCCGATACCACTCGAGGATGATATGGCGTCTCTTATGGATCTCGGCGTTGGCAATGAGTCTAACATTCTTGTGGATGAAGAGAGTTGAAAGAAATAAACCAAAAGCTTTCTCGATTTTAAATTTAAATTTTCTCTATTACCATGATTCCCTCTAGCTCCCCCAGTGTAACTAACTATATTCTTTTGTTTTTTTTTTTTTTTTTTTTAACTATATGCCAGTGTAACAAATGGCATCGCTTGACAATTTGTTTTTATGTATTCATTTTCTAATTATAATTTTTTGTTTTATGTTAAATTATGATTTTAGTCATTTTAACTTTCATATCCATGTTTAATTGATCATTAAACTTAAAAAAATGGACATAACTATTTTTTATCTTTCGATTTTGTATCTAATAGGTTATACTTTTAAAAGTATAATTATTCTTAAAAGTCTCACTTGATAAGTATTTTATTTATTTATTTATTTTGAAAATTTAACCAATTACCACTTTGTATTCACATGTTAGCTATTTACTTAAAAAAAATTATCAAAATTTAAGTACAATTTTAAAAACTAAACAAAATAGTTTCCAAAACTTTTTTTAAGCTTGGCTAAGGATTTAAATGTATTTTTAAGAATATTTATGGGTTTTTAAATTATTAAATTTGTATTTAATAGATCCTTAACTTAATAATATTTTTTTAAATTCATGAACTTATTGGATATAAAATTTAATTTTATGTCTAATAGATCATACTGATGAATATTGTAGTGACCTAGTAGACTCTAAATGACCTAGTAGACTCTAAATTCAAAGTTCAGGATTTTATTGGACAATTTTAGAGTTCAAGAACATTTAAATACAAATTTGAATGTTAAATGGATTTATTAGATATTTTTAAAATTTAGGGACTTATTAAACATAAATCTAAAATTTTTATAATTAAACCTAATTTTTTAAAACACAATGAATTACATGCTTTCATCTAATTTTTGGTAAAATATTCTCCCAAATTAATCATTATGATAAAATTAATTTAATTGAAAAGATATGAAAATAATATTTAAGAAATATTTGTATGTAGTAAAGTTATATTTCTACTCGATGTTAACCGAATTTGAGGTGGGAGATAGAATTTCCATCTTTTTTGTACTAAATAAAAAGTCGTGTAAATCAATCTAGTATATTTTTTTTATTTAAACGATGTAACGTAATATCAACATCGCTTTTTTTTTTGCAAAAAAAAAAAAAACTAGAAAACAGTTATTTTCAAAAGTAAAAAAAAGAAAAGGACTAAGAAACAGTTTGAAAGTTTGGGAATGAAAATAAATTACATAAAAATCTACCAGAAGTTTATCCCATCACCCACAAAAGAACAAGAACAAGAAGAAACGAAGGAACCCGACCCATCCACTACGGAACAAAAATAATTGGAACATCTCAATTCTGAAGTAACCACTGCACCGCTGCGGTTGCGTCTGTCACCGCCTGTCTCCAATCGTACCGCGGCCCACGGTCACCCCTCTCTCCACCGAATTCCCTTGGATCGAACATGCAGGAGCAGGACAAGGACCTCAATGGCCATTGATTCCCACCATCTCCCACAGCCATCTGGAACTCGACGTGGTCTTGTGTAATTCCAGCCATTCTGCTTCTGCATCATGCTTGACGAAGCCAAATTCTCACACCGCACCAGTCCAACTCTGTTTGGCCATCTCTCATAACTTAGAACAAAATTGCTCCTCAGGGTGGCGTGTATACTACTTCAATTGGGTGCCTTTCGTTTTTGGTCATCTTAATTGTCACGTTATGTGGTTGTGTGTTTCTGGGATCTTGAAGGATTTCAACTGGGATTCGGGTCATAGTTGACGAATTTCTTGCCAGAAGAAAACTTGCTCAATTCTCTGAGCTAACCTGTCCGCTAATTGCTTCGGAACCTCTTTCATAGTGATAGGTTCCGAGGCAAAAATTATTCTATCAGACGCCGGAATGGATGCAAATAGTACGGAAGATATCGGTGGCGGTGACATGTTGACTTCGTCGGCTATAGGTTCTTCTGAAGTTCCAGAAGCGTCACCCGATTCACTAAAAAACACGCCATCTAACATTGCAAAATTGGAGGATGTCATCGAGCACTGCGAAGGTAGGCAGAAGTACCTTGCACATACCAGGAGTCCTTCCGATGGCGGTGATGTCCGCTGGTATTTCTGTAAAGTACCTTTGCTTGGGACTGGTGAGTGCTTTTCATCTTATTTATCTTCAGCGTTTTCAAACTATTGACGGGGAACAAAGTAGAAGACCAAGACGAAAAAAATTGGAGCAAAATTTTGAAGTTTAAACCAAGAGTCACATTTGAGGAAACTAAGAAACCTGTTTTATGAAGACGTATCCCAAAATTGTATTCAGCCATTGACTTCCTTATAAACTTTTGAAACTATATAATATGTATATATTTTATCTATATTTTCTATATGAGATAAATAAAATTGTAGTTATTTCCATTTTTCTTACGAAGGTTTCCTTCTCAACTTGTCACCTCTATGTTTCCGTTTTAATGTAGTTGATGTTCTCGTTAAGAATAGGACTTCGCTAGGAGATTTTGGATCAAAGGGCTTTCAAACCTTTTGATGACTCTCTGCTGCTTATGTTTCGACAGAGCTAGCTGCATCAGTTCCTAAGACTGAAATAGTAGGAAAGGGTGACTATTTTCGATTTGGCATGAGGGATTCTCTTGCAATAGAGGCATCTTTCTTGAAGGTGTATTTTTCGACCTCTTGGGTAGTCAGTGAATGCTTATGTTCCCCCATATTTCATGTATTGCTCATAGTGAAATATCTTGGAGTTACCTTCTACAATATCTTTAACTCATGAGATTGACTGTCCATTCACCTGCATGTGCATGGAATTCATTTTCAGAAGCTAATTACAGTTTTAATTAGTTTATTTTTGGAACTAGTTGGCTGGTTTATGGGAATTATGTAAATAAAGGAATTGTAGGAGATTCAATGATGTACTTAGGGAGGTTGAGGATTCTTTTGATCTAGTCATTATTGTTACTGCGAGTTGGGGTATTTTCTCAGAGACGTTTTGTAATTTCCCTTTTTTATGCCAGTTGGAGTACTTTTTGTATTCTCGTTTGCCTTGGTCTTTTCAGTTGCAATTTTTCATCATCTTGGATGAAAAGTTCTAGTTTTTCTTTATATATGAGTTTGTATGTGTGCGTTTCAATATTTATAATGTTTCTTGTCCTCTTCATTTTAAAGTTAGTGGGAAAAAATGTTTAACAATTCTTTGCATATTTTGGATTTGAATATAGAGAGAGGAAGAGCTACTTTCTATTTGGTGGAAAGAGTATGCAGAATGTAGTGAAGGGCCAAAGGAAAGATCTGGTTCCAGTCAGAGGCTTGATAAACAAAGACATGAATCTGCTTCAGAGGTTGCTAAATTAGTCAAGTTGTATGATATTGAAGAAGAGCGAGTTGGTGTCCCTGTCAAGGGAGGACTATATGAGGTCAATTTGATGTAATCTATATTTTTAAAAATTCCCCCCCATGTTTTATACTAGCACCACATTGTATAGCACTATCTTGATTTGTATTCTTTCCAGTTGTTAAATGTAACACATTTAGATGTTATGAAAATTGAATAGTTTTAGTGACGTGAAAAGTATTTCTTGTTTCTAGAAAAATTGTGTTTTTTTTTGTTGCACGTGTCATTCTGGAAGAAGATTTGTTTAAATGTCAAAGGTGGGAAGATGAAAGTTATGTTATTTATTTTGGTTAATGGGCTTATAAACAGGAAATAATTAAGATAAACCTGAGTTACAAAATGTCAACAGTTCATTAACAATGAAGAAATTAGTATCACTAATTAATGTTTGCCTTCTGGGTAGATTTATTCTCGAGATTCAAACTGTGTGGACTGTGGTCCCACATCAATAGTTTCTTTCTGCATGGATTCTAAACGTTTTGATTGGATGGATTCAATGAATGTCTTATTTTCTCTAATTAGAAATATTAACATTTTTAAAGTAAAAATGTTTTTGTAATCTTTTACTGTATGCTTCAGTTTAATTATAATTTTGTTGTTAAACTATATTATAAATTTTCTTAGATATCATATCCGATGTTCAATTATCTTTTCAAATTATACATTGTTTTCTTTTTTGTTTAATATACAAATGCTTGCAACTGAAGTCATATTACATATGCAGGTTGATTTAGTGAAGAGACATTGTTTTCCTGTTTATTGGAATGCAGAAAATCGTCGGGTGATGAGAGGTCATTGGTTTGCACGTAAAGGAGGACTTGATTGGCTTCCAATTCGAGAGGATGTTGCCGAACAGTTAGAAATTGCGTATCGCAGTCGGGTTTGTTTTTTGTTCTCTAATAGATCATCTTCTCTTATTTTTGAACCATTCTCCGAGTTGTTGCTTGGAAGTTTTGTATTCAAAGCGTCTCAGAGTTTTTATGATGAAGAAATGCTTCCACGTGAAATATTTTCATTTGTTTTGGTGCAGTTTCTAGTTTATCTTCATTTCTAAACTAGAATGAAAATTTTAAATATCTTATAAATGTGATTTTGATCTAGGTGTGGCGCCGGAGAGCATTTCAGCCATCTGGACTTTTTGCATCACGAGTTGATTTACAGGGATCTACCCCAGTATGTAAACCATTTGGAGCACGGAGGCTTAGTTTGTTGTTTCATCATTACTTGAAAATTAGGATCATGATTTATCTTGGAATTCCTAATGTAGGGACTTCATGCTCTTTTCACTGGGGAAGATAATACGTGGGAGGCTTGGCTGAATGTGGATGCTTCTGGTTTTTCTAGCGTTATTGCTTTGGGTGGCAATGGAATTAAGTTAAGGCGTGGCTATTCCCCATCTAACTCTCCTAAACCTACTCAGGTCTGTACTTCTTTCTTTCCAGTAGTTCTGTGCGTATAATTTTACTTGGGGAACTCCCCCTCCCCCAAGCAAGAAAGGGTCATAATGGAGGATTGAGAATCCTATTAGGTATCGGAAGAAAGGTATCATTTCTGGATGCAACTTTAGTTCTAATATTGTTACTATAAATGTTGACAATTTTCTTGAAATGTTGAAATATACTATAACCTGAATGTATGCACCTTTTTTTTTTAATATAAATTTTCTCTTGAAAATGATGTGGCTTCTTTCCACCATATGCCTCAGGTATCTTTTGTTTTCCCTTTAAGACATTTTTCACTGTGATCCATGCCCTTGAAAAACATTCAATATGGAACTCCCTCATTGAATATAACTGCCATCAATTCGGTCTTAAACATGAGAAATAACTTGCGTGCTGCAAAGCAAGAGTCAATATTGAATGATATAAACGAGGATTGAATGTGGAAATGAAGTTGTGGTTTCTTCCGGAAAAAAGTTACGTTCTCCAAATTGGAGCAAATGAAAAGCAGTTTATCCTCCTTTTTTGACAAGGTTTTCTCCCTCACATTTTTATTCCTTCTGATTTCTCAAGGATGATTTACGTCAGCAGAAGGAAGAAGAAATGGATGATTACTGTTCACAGGTGTGTCTGCTATCATTGAGCTTCCTGACTTTTTTTTTTCATGTTAGCATCGATCCCCTTAATATCCATCCATATTATTATTAGGCTAAATAAATGTTTTTTCCTTAATATTCCCTTTTGTTTAGAAAGTTTCATTGTTTCAATTTTGGTATCTTATGTTTAAAATTTTTCAATTATATAATCTTTGTTGGTGAATGCTAAAATTGGCTTATAATAAGCTTAGATGTAAAAATGTATCGGTAGGAGAGAAATTTAGAGGACAAATTTGGTTAAAATTTCAGTCACCTCTCCGACGATCTGGTTGATAGCCGCCCTAGTTTTAACCCTGAGCCCTGAGGTTTTAACCTGCTTGATTACTACATATAACTGTTTTACTTGGTGAATTTTTGGGAAGTTATAACCAACATGATTATTATAGATAGCTGTTTTACTCGGTGAATGCGGAAAGCTATAAAGATTTCTGAAAAAATGGGAGACTATTCGATCTAATCTAATGTTTTAACTCTCTCGCTAATTTTGTATTTGTTTGATTATCTTATAATTAACTTGATTTCATAAAATAGTCTACATATATCATGTCACTTTGGAAACCACACTATTCATCTGTGGTTGTTGCTCTTGCTCTAGGTTCCTGTTCGGCACCTCGTGTTTATGGTTCATGGAATTGGTCAAAGGTTGGAGAAATCTAATCTTGTTGACGATGTTGGGAATTTTCGGCATATTACATCTAGTCTTGGAGAGCGACACCTGACTTTACACCAACGTAGCACTCAAAGAGTCCTCTTTATCCCATGCCAGGTAATTAAGGCCTCGTTTAATAATCATATATATATTTTTAATTTTCTGTTTTTMGAAATTAAACTTGTAAACACTACATGGTTATGTCACAGCTAACTTTTGAAAACTAAAAGAAAATAGTTCTTGAAAACTTGTTTTTGTTTTTAAAATTTGGCTATAAATGTGTTTTTAAGAAAGATGAAAATATACCCAAAAAAAATTATGAGTATGAGCAATGTTTTTAAGAAAGACGAAAATATATAAAAAAATCGTGACTGGTGAAAACATAATTTCTAAAAGCATAAAACTAAAAACAAAATGGATATCAAATAGGTCAAGAAACCCTTTTTTTTCCACCCTACGTTTGGATAGAATGTGAGAGTTTCTTATATGTTGTCTTTCCAATTTTTTTTTCTTTTTTATTTCTCCCCTTTGTTTTTCGTTATTCTGTAATGGCATTTGTTACTACGACATGATACTTTAGAATTCTCTTGTTTAGATATAGACATGATGATATTGGGCTTTGAAAGATATCAAAAGAATGCATTATAACTCTAATAGTCTAATGTAAGCCTTTTGCCATTGTGGTCTCAATCTTACCACTTTTTGTTGGTTAATACCATCATTGTTGTTTGTGCTTTCTAGTCTTATAGATTATTCCACGTGTAGTTTCTGTCAACCTATTATCTCTATTTACTTCTCATTCTTCTTTGCTTCCTGGAATATTTTATATATCTGTTCATCTCTATTATTATGCTTTTACCATTTAACTATTTTTTTTCCCCAGTGGAGGAAGGGTCTGAAGCTTAGTGGCGAAGCAGCTGTTGAAAAAATTACTTTAGATGGAGTGAAGGGTTTGCGTGTCATGTTGGGTGCAACTGCTCATGATGTTTTATATTACATGAGCCCCATATATTGTCAAGACATCATCAACTCGGTAGAGCATGCTTTGTTTGGATTGTTGTTATCCAATACTTTCATCTTTTCTATACTGGTTCTACATAGTTCTTTATATATGGATTATGCTCTTTCATGTCTGTATATAATTCATATGCAACTGAGACATTATCAAAGAAGGGTAAATATATATTTACGTTATGAGCTTTGTCCTTTAATTATTAACTAATGCACTACCGTATTTATATGTGCCTTGTTACAAAGAAGGGTCATGTTAGAAGAATTACAAAGTTTGGTCCTACCAATCTCAGTACTTTGTTCTATAAAATTATGACCAATGTAAGTTGGAGACTTAAAAAGGTTCTGTCTTCCACAATTACTGAATTCGAACCAGCTTTTGTTGGTGGAAAGCAAATGATCAATTCTTGCCTTATTTCCAATGAGCTCATTGATGAGAGAAAATCAGCAGTAATACATAACCAGTCAACTTTTTTTCCCATCTTTGATTCTTGGTGGAGGGATGTTTCTTGTTTAAGGATGGTCTAGCCGTTTATTTTAGTTAAAATGGAAATTGGTCAAGCAGCCTCTTAAGTCATAGAAGGTGCTTGGTCAGGCTGATGCTTGCCAAGTTGAGGTCGCTAGTGAGATCAGCTTTATTTTTTATTATTATTATTATTTTAGTGCTCTTCCAGAAGGGGTCCAATTTCTGAGGAGCTTTGGTCAGAACAGGTTTTCTCTAAAATTTGAACTCCATGTCTGGTGGTTAAGACATTATTTGGCACGAAAAATGTAAGTAAATAAATCGAGGCAAAAAGTCAGTTTTCTTCCACAATGTTGGTAATGATAGATGAGGAACTGTCTCAATCTTTTAAGTTCTAAGGACAGTGTTAATCTTGTGAATGAGGTCACATCCTCAAACTATTATTGTGAAAGGTTATTCTTTTTACAATGGAGCTCTAGAATTCTTCCTCCCAATTTGGATTGCCATATGCATTTATGAGAATTGGCTCGAGAGACCTTTCTTAGGTGCAGGTAAAGTCTTTAAAGAATACTGGGACACTTTCAAGCTTTATCTGATGGATACATTTCAGAATTTTTTGAGAGATGAATGTTGGCCTTTATGAAACTTTCAAGCTTGACCGCATTACTAAAATCTTAGTTGAGAGGTTAAAGAAAGCCATCCATCACTTCTACCATTTCGGTTATGCAATCTGCTTTCACTGATGGGGTAGACAAATTGTGGATCCTTCAAGTTTGTTTTTCAATCTTCCCAAGTTTGCTGTTGTGGGTATAGATATGGCTCCTTGTGAAGATATGAGGTCATGGAGCTTTGTAATTGCGAAATCGATGTTTGGTTCTCAGGAGCATTTGGAGGTAACAACAATAAGAGTGTTGATTTCTTGAAGCCTTTGAAAAGCTGATGAGGAGGCTTAACCAGTGGAAGAAATCTTAACTTTTCAGGGGAGAAGTGACCATCGCTTATACAATCCTCACTACTTTGGCCACTTGTATCTCTCTCTCTTATTTTTTTCCCCTGTTTTCGAACTCTCAAGTGTGGTGACTTCTTTGCCTGACAAGCTGATAAGAGACTTCTTCTCAGAAGGAGCTCATTTGGACAAGGGAAGCAATGTAGGAGGTGATCAATTTGGCAACTTCAACTCCATTAACAACCACATTTGAATCTTTTTTCGGATTACACCCATTATCTCAAGTTTTAGCTCGGTATGTGATGATGAAAAGAAACGGAATAAGCTTCAAGAACTCATATTACTATTACACATTATCAAACCCACTAAAAATGATTAAAAAATAATTAATTACTTAATTTAGTTTCTTTTTTGTTACTCATTTATTATTCTTTCTGTACCTTGCTTTATCATTGCCAATCAGAGAGGTTTATTCTTACTCCTCGACTTTTGTGGGGGTTGTTCCCCTCTTTGTAACTCTACTCCCCTTCTTGGATTTAATATGGATAGTTTGTATTTGTCCGTTTCTATTGAGTCCCTTCTAGTTATTGATGATGCATGATTTATGGAACTTTGTTTCTATTGAGTGCATTCTAGTTATTGATGATGCATGATTTATGGAACTTTGTCAATATGGTGGTGACACACACTCGCACACACACATTTATGGGGATATTAGAAAAATGAAAGAGAAGATACAACCTATAGGCTGCGGGGACCTCCCTTGCCAGGAAAAAACAATTACAGAAGCTCTTTCCAGCTTAAGTTAATCCAACAAATCCTGTGATTACAAAAAACAAGGGCACTCCAAGATATATTGTATACAATATGGAAGTGATATAATACCAGTCATGTAGTACTGACCGATTTTCATGATATGAAGCTGTTCAATGTCCATGGACCAAGGACTAAATGGGTGTTTTGATTTCTCTTCAGGTATCTAACCAATTAAACCGTCTTTATATGAAATTTCTTAGAAGGAATCCAGGATATGATGGCAAGGTATGTACATCAAAGATTATTTTACCATTATCTTCAGTCAAATTCCGTTATACAAATGGAATATTCTTATATATGCTGTAATTATTACTTAGGTTTCCATATATGGACATTCTTTAGGGAGTGTCCTTTCATATGATATCCTATGCCACCAGGAGAATCTCTCATCCCCTTTTCCGATGGATTGGATGTATGCGGAACCTACTAGAAGTGAAGGGTTCTCAGGGGTGGACAATAAATCCTCTACACGCAACTCTTCTTGCAGTACAGAGGATAAAAGTTCTACTGCAGCTTATGGAACTGCAGACATTGTCCACTTTACTAAAGAAGATGAGAGAAATGTGCATGAAATGCATCTGCATTTGGAAGATCCTTCAATTTTCCTGGATCCTGTGACGTCAAATTCAGCTGAACTCATAACTACACATGAAAATACTAGTGGGGGAACTGAGTATGATTCCAGCAAAAGGCTTCCTCACACAAGTGATGGGCTGGAGGAGTTTAAAAACTGGAACTGCGAGTTAGAGGTCCCCAGTGTAAATAAAGTTGCTGAGCTACAATTTGAGGATTCAATAGATAAAGATGAAGCAATCAAATCCCTGCAAGAAGAGGTCAGGACTGTTACACACGCATCTCATGTTTCACTAATTCTTGTATGCTCTCAACGTACAGCCTTCATTTATAGGATGTGTTATTTGAACTTCTCGTCTGTCAGGTTGATTATCTTAAAAAGAAATTGGCAGAACTTGAGTTGACGTCTGCTAGTAGGAATGGAGAATTGAATCAAGGTGCCTCCTAATTGTTTCATTTTTTTCGTTTTTTTCTTCTTATGGGAAGAAATTGTACAGATAGTATTTTTTGTCTTTGAAACAATATCAGGAAATAAGAAAAGTTCAATAGGTATGCCTAAGGAGCCCATATCAGAAGAGCTACCTCCTGAGCAAGACGATGAATCAAAGAGTTTTACTCCTCATATAAAGTACAAGAAGCTTGCATTCCAGGTAAGGGATGGGGAGTAGGATTGGGAAGAGAGTTTTTTTTTGTATATATTTCAATGTATATGTGCATGTTATATTTAAATTCCATTCTCAACGTGCTGAATGTCAATGAGCGTTGGTTTTTTCTCACTATTTTATGTGTATTTTTATCTTCAATTAGGTTGATACATTTTTTGCTGTTGGATCTCCTCTTGGGGTGTTCCTTGCACTTCGCAACATTCGTATTGGAATTGGTAAGCTCAAATTTATGACATGCTAGCTACATGGTCACATGAAATATTTGTGGAAAATAATTGTAGTAATCGTTATTTATCTATCTGAAAGGGTATATTTTTTCAAGGTAAATTTGCATGATTGATGATACAAGGGTCCCCAGCTGGAGGACCATATATAGCTCGTGTAAACTCTCTATCTATGTGGTGTTTGTTTTTAAGTTGATAATGGACAGCTAAATTATTTAATATGAAGCTAGATAACATTAGGTCCATTAAATGATTTCAATAAGTCAGTTTTCAATGGTAAGAGCTATCTGCTCCATTTTGCTTCTTGATCCTTCCAGACCCTAGAAGTAATTCTCATGCTGACCTGATTTAATTTTAATTGATTAACTTAAAAACGAATATTGGTCTTGTATTGCAGAAACATGGAGATTTTTCTTTGTGGTTTTTAAATAGCAAGTCTATTTATTTTGTCATTGATATTAGATGTGATCTTCCTGAATTCGGAGTTATTCATAATAGGTTTTGATTTGGGACTTCCAAATTTGCACTCAAAGATTTGGTTTATACGCTACAAAGAGTTGATTGTTTGTTATGATATGCATAATGGTTTTGATGACACTAAAAATTTATTTGTTTTGTCTCCAGGAAAAGGGAAAGAATATTGGGATGAAGAAATTGTAAATGAAGAGATGCCATCTTGTCGACAAATGTTTAACATTTTTCACCCATTTGATCCTGTAGCATACAGGTCTTTGAAAGCACCCTTTGTAATGCACATGTTGAGAATGCAGATGGTTTATTTTAACCATTCAAGTGCTTGAATCTTTTTTCATAACCAGCTATCTTGTGATTTACTGTCTGTTATTTGATTGACATTTTTTTTTCTTTTTGACGCCTGAATTTTGTCTGACACACCATAATTATTTATTTATTGCTTTAAAAATACTTCTTCGCTTTCTGGCCACACATTCTTGGATCCATTTGTTATACATTAGTCACTTATCCACTGAGAACAACCACATGCTTACGGATTTGCGTATTGACTCGTGCTCCAAAAATGCATGGTTAGAGAGTTTTGTACTTGCTATTGTGTCTGAGCTCATTCATAATTTTTTCAAATGAAATTCTTTAATTATGAGAGAGAAAAAATGTTGTGATTTTCTTAAGTCTTAAATCAGTGTCTATTCTGTAATTATATTTCCTCTTGATATGGTAGTATAAATTATGGAAAAACGTATAATAGAAGCTTTGTTGCATTTATACAGAATAGAGCCACTTGTTTGCAAGGAGTACATGCTCAAGCGACCTGTTATTATACCATTCCACAGAGGTGGAAGGAGGTTGCATATTGGATTTCGTGTAAATATCTTCATCACATTGATATAGTGAATTTCAGTCATTTTTAACTTTCTTTATCATTCTGATTGATTTTCCTCTATGTTATGCAGGAATTTACTGATAATTTGGCACTTCGTTCTCAGGCAATGAAGGACAATCTACACACTCTGGGGGTAGGCTGTACTAGACTTTCTAAGAATGGGCCTTTTTATCTTCTCATGCATGACTTGGTTTTTTTATTTTCTTTTCAAACCTTTCAAATCAAATTTCTCAAAACTTTTATCATAAATACAAGTACTGGCACACCATTTGATTTCATGGCATGATGTCGAAACAACTAACGTGGAATCATTAATAATTACTTTTCTTCTATTTTTTTAGACAAAAAACAAACTTTTGATTAATATATGAAAAGATAGAAAAATATTCACTAATGAGAAATTATTCTAATTACTTTGCTTCTATTTTTGTTAACGTTGTACTTGGAGATTCTCTTGGGTGGAATTCCTTTTAAGGGGTGTTTATATGCAGTAACGAGGGGAGTGGAATATATATCATGAACTCATGTTGCTATTGGGTATTACCATCCTAAATCCCCAAAAATTAATTACTGAATTTATTAAATCTAATTGTAACTATCCTAGTTTAAAATGGTTAATTTTAAATTTAGCATGAAGTAACATAGTAAACAAAGTATCATTCATAAATCTAATATAACTTTAAACATTTAAATAATTTATGAGAAAAATATAATAAGATTTTATATACTGAATAAATAAAAATCTAAATCAAGTTTTACAAATTTGATTCTCATATGTGAGGGGGAATAAATATTTTATTTCTTATTTCTTACTGTTTTAAAGGTATGCATCTGTTTGCACAGTTCCTTTGTATTTATATTTTTATCTAAATGGTCTTGGTTAAAATTTAAATGTGATTTCCCCTACCATTTTTTTAATAAGAATCTGATTGTATTAATAACAAAGGAAAGCAAATTGGCCACATTACTATTTGGAGAGGTCTGTTTGATATCTAAAAATTGCTCAACAATAGTTGGACAAGTGGGGAGTTGGAATGCTGGGTAAACCAGAAAAGTTTGGGTAGAGCCAGATCTAAATGTTGGCTAGGTAATTAGCTTGTAAGAGTAGTTATGAATCCTGTAGACCATTTCTCGGTGGTGAAGGGAGGGCCCCAATTGGTAGAGTAGGGAATGAGGAAGCCCCCAAAAGATAGTGAAGTACAACCTTCCAGTCTTCTGTAATCATTGCTAAACTGTAATAACAAAGGGATTTTCCCTACATTTCTTTATGTTTTCTATTTTCGAGTGTGCATACAGAACCAAGTAACTGCTTGACTTTTGGTTAGGAGGCCAAGAGTGCCAACTTATGTGTGCTAGTATTTACAATTGTGCTTGTTAAACTTGCCTGAACTTGAGTTTGGTTTTGGAGTTCTCTGTTAAAGCACAAATAAGCACCTTTCGAATTATATATGTTTGGCATTGGGTTAATATAAGAAATTGTTGAAGGGTCTGAGTTTCATTATTTGACAGGTTAAAGTACTCACAGTTTGCCAATCTAGAAAAGCAGATGTTCTAGAAGGTAATATATCAGTTTCTAATGCATTATTTGCCCTGATTTGTACCTCGTTACTTCTGTTCATAATCAATGCGGATGAACTATTAATTATCAGATCTGATTGGACATAACCATGTTTAGAACTAGTACTGCGTGAACCCCCAACTACTCACTAATTGAGCCTCCTTGCCACTACCAATAGCTTCATTTTTATGATCAGAGTAAGTTTCTATATGATGGCCTGTTGTCCAAGGCTTCCAGTCATACAAGAGTAGAGCCTCTAATTATACCAAACTAGTTCCAAGCAGGATCTTTGCGATAACTATGAGCCGTCCTTTAGAATGTCCTTCTCCCTTTCCTTATGTTTGTATATGAAAGTAAATAAAATATCGACTCATTTTTTTTTTTATCATATTTTTACTTTGTGCACCTAATGTAGAAGGAGCTGATGATTTGCAAGAAGGAGAACTGAAGTCTTATGGTGTTGCAATGATGGAGAGATTGACAAGAAGTGAAGAAGGTCGGATTGATCACATGCTTCAAGTATGTATTTCCTTTAACTATATGATGCTAAAACGTTGAATTTTCCATCTGTTTGAAGTCCATTGCTTATTCACGTGTAAATACATGATTACAAATTTGGAAACTAATACGTTTGGATGAGAAACCAAACTTTCAAGAAGAGGAGACTTTTAAGAAAATAGCAGGACAAAGTATACTACCACATGGAGGAGCTACTTTAGGTATCGCAACTTGAAGCATTTTGCATGCTATAAAAAATAATATTAATAACCTAACTTGAAGCGTTTTGCAAATAAGTAAAAGAGTATAATTGAAATGAGCCAAAAACCGGAGCAACGAAGAGTCTTTGAGCCAACTCAATATGCTTTTAATCCAAATTATGTTTAAAAATTGAAATAGTATTCTGTAAATCCATCAAGTCTTCTTGTAATTAGAAGTGTTAACAAAACATCATATTTGTCCCTGTTTTTCCACAAAAAGCCATACGTTATGGAGAACTGTCTTCTTGTTTTTATGGAACATCTGACTCGAGAGAAACTGGAGGATTTTAGGGGGCGGTTTGATCTACAGATAGGCTTACTTCTTTTTGTAACCAGAGGGTTTGGTATTTGTCATTTGGTACTTAATTCTTAATAGTTAGAGCTCTTTTATTTAGTTTTGTTTGACTTTGGCCTCTATTTTTTCCTGGCTCCACTTGGTTTGGGTTATCCTTTCATCTGCTCTATGAAAGAGTATATATTTTTCCTAGTTTGAACCGTTTGTTTTCCTGACTTTTGAAAGTAAACTCTTGTGCTGATCTCTTTATACTTTAAGCTTTCACTTTGATCATGCAGGATAAAACATTTGAGCACCCGTATCTGCAAGCCATTAAGTCCCATACGTGAGTTTCACGTCTCTACTTCAATCAAGTAGAAATAACGCTCCCTTCCTAATCTATACCATTTATCAAGCAAAAATTTTCTGAAAAACCGTGTGCTGTTTTTTCCATATGTTGCCAAAACAATTAGAGGTCTGCAACTGCATGCTGTGGTGTAGACAATTGTCTTGGTAAATGTAGTACTCAGCGTCTAGTTTGTAAATTTCTAATTCATATCAAGCTGAGTCTTATTTCTTAAATATGATGTCAAAATGTGTACTAAGACCTGAAAGGGGAAAAAAAAAAAAATCTTGGAATCAATGTAAGAGGTGAGCAGCGAGTCCATGTGCTTTTTGTGCATATTAATTGCTGTTCGTAGGCTTTTAGACTTGAAAATTTTTCCGTATCGTGTCATTTTTCTGACTCTTCAATAGTTATGAGCAGAGAGAGGGTGTGTTGGTAAATTAGCTGTTCCACGTTCTAATTGGTGTGTTTTGGGGTGCAGAAACTACTGGAGGGATCATGACACTGCCCTTTTCATATTGAAACACTTGTATCGAGATATACCTGAAGATCCCGATACACCTCCAGAATATACTGAACCCGATTCAAAAGATTGCTGGTACAGTCAAAGAGAGAGTATTGAAGAGGAGCTTACTTTAACATTTTCCGATGAGACTGTGGTACGAAGCTTCTCGAGAAAAGCAAAGAAAATGATGAAAAACCAAAGATAGCCATTCAAGTTCAACAAAAGGCAATAGGATCTCACTTATGGCCGAGGCCTTAGTGAAGATGGGGACGGCTGGGATTGTTATGTTACTGCGAATGTGTGAATTCCCACCTTCACAAATGGGGAGAAAAGCAGTTGGCGGACTTGTGCTTATTTAACAAAACATTGTTTCTCCTTTCCTTCCATGTACATAGGAAAGGAAAACGAAATGGCCATGTAGCGATTTCAGATTATAACAACGTTACTTGTAAATTTTCTCTCTACCAGTTCTAGAAAGTAGGCAGATGAAGAGGTTACTAATTTGTAAAGCCTCGTAGTAATTGGTCATGTTGGAAAAATAAACAACGTTTCAGATATATGCTAAAAGGTGTGCACAAAAGAAAAAAATGGGAAGACTTATTTGAGTTCATTGGAGGTGACAATTCTGATTTCTTGTACAATAAAAGTCAACATGCTTCCGAGTCCGGAATCTGGAATGCTAATCATTCAGAGGATAAATAATTTGCAAAATTTGTGAACTAGGAAAGCACATAGCCACTGTAGCACCCAGTCGCCTAAACTAAATAAAAGGGGCTGTGGATCATTCCTGCACCTGATTTATTTTCCTTTTTGTTAGTACTCCATTACCAGGTCTTCCATTGTAGAAAATGAATGTGTTTCGACCAGATCTTGCGAATTAACTTCACAGGCAGAGTAAAAAACATAGAAGAATCTCCTTTTTGACATTATGGATTCTGGATAGAGGATCCACTACAGATCCCAACCATCTTTCTCCAACTTTTCTGCCTTACTCAACACATTTTTCTTCGTGTCTTCTTGAAACTGGCTCATCCTGCACATTAACGGTGTTGTCACCAACTGCAAACATATATCATAAGACTTTCTGTACTTTTTTCCCCTACCCAGCTCATTCTCTAACTAGAAGTTTCACTCTATATAGATATATATATATATGATAGGAGCAGCACCTTGAGACTAGATCTGCATCTGCCACTCCCAACATCCTTACTGCCAACAAGCCAGCATTGGTTGCGTTATTGATTGCAACAGTAGCAACCGGAACCCCCCTCGGCATCTGCAAGACCAGACCTTAAACAATCATAAATACTGCATATGGGAAGACACTTGTGAAACGGGAACGAATAATTGGCACAAATAATTGCCAAAAGCAGATAATAATGTTATTACATAGAATATTACCATTTACCACCAAAATACATCCCAAAGGTCATGCAGTCCTTAGGAAGAAAGTTATACCAGAAGGAAGAGTATGGTTGAAACTATCCTGGGCCTATCAGAGTACAATCCCGTTTTCCATTAAGCAAGTTCTACGTTAATAAACCTGCCGTCTACTTGCAAAACTAAAACTTATCAATTGTACAAAACCAATATATTCTCTTATACCAGAACATTCATTTAAAAGCTTGCTCTTAAGAAAAAGGACAAAATGAAGAAATGTTCAATCACAAATTACATCAATTGATCTTCAAAAATGCACCAAAGTTTGTGATTATCTGTCATTAAAAATTGTTAAAGAAACCAAAGACAACAGAGATTATTTTGAGACCAAAATGAAATTACCTGCACAATTGATAGAAGAGAATCAAGTCCATCCAACGCCGAAGCACGCACAGGGACACCAATAACAGGCAACGGAGTAAGAGAGGCAACCATTCCTGAAAATCCAGCTACCAGCTGCTAATGAGAAATTTCCTACTTTTGAGAAAATAAATACATAAACCCCCATCATAGAGAGGCAACCATTCCTGAAAATCCAGCTACCAGCTGCTAATGAGAAATTTCCTACTTTTGAGAAAATAAATACATAAACCCCCATCATTTCTTTGTATACCAGATTTACACGAAGAACAATCAACTATCCCCTGAATTTACAACATGCAATAACCAGTTACCCAAGTACTTTTGAACCCAGGATCACTTAATCAAGCAAATTTTATCCACTTCACCAGCCCTTTGGAATTAATGTAATCTGATCGTTTGTTCTATCCAAATACAATATACTATAAAGGAAGCCTTTAAATGACTAGCCTGGTAAATGGGCTGCACCCCCAGCACCAGCAATGATAATCTGGATCCCTCTCTCCTGGGCAGATGACGCGTAAGAGAACATCCAATCAGGGGTCCGATGAGCAGAAACTATCTTTATCTGCGTATTTTTTGAAAAAAAGTAGCAGGTCAGAAATATATTATATATGTATGTCAATCATGAAAAATAAAAAACTAACCTCATAAGATACACCAAACGTGTCAAGGACCTTTGCAGCATCTCTCATTACAGGAAAATCCGAATCAGAGCCCATTATGATTCCAACACGGTGCTCAACTGTGTTGAATGTGATGTTAATACGGAAGAAAAATAATCGAATAGAAAAAAAAAAAAAAATCGAACTGTATTATACATGCAACTATGTAAGCAATTTCAGTGATACCTACCAATATTTAAGCAAGAAAGAAGCCTTCATTAGAAACAAAAAATAAGAAGGCTAAAAAGCTCCTATGTGTTTATCATACACGTTGTTTGGTTTTGTGCCTTGCAAATTCTGCACTTGAAATTCTAATTAAAAAATTAAAAACATTATAAGATAGGTTATAGATGATCCAGAGTCAGAATACTGGATTCTTTTTGAGATAAAGGAGTAAAACATGAAAGCATCCTGAAGGGAGGCTGACCTGCAGGCTTTTCAGAAACTTCATCAAGCACGGATGATAATAAATTTTCTACAACACTGATCGAACGGCCAACAATGGTGATGTGACCCATCTTTCTTTGCCTTCTCATGTCTGGTTCATTGCAAAGGGAGTGAATTAATTGTTGAGCTCGCAATTCAAAAAGAGGAAGAAAAATAGGAAGAAAATTTTAAAGTCTAACCTGGTTTATCATACCAATGAACAAAAGCTCCAGATATACTCAATGCCCTTTGCATCAGTTGATGAGCTAGATAAAAACCAGGTTCCCCCTGAAAGAAACAGCAGTAGAACAACCATCAGAAGTGCTATAGTTATGACTACCAAATGCATATGTGAAATTCAAAATAAATAAAATACCTCACCTAACTTATATTTTTTCTTCCTCTTTTTTTTTTCTTTTTTTTTATAGGAAATATAACTTTTATCAATTAAGAAAAGATCACAAAGCAAAAGGGGATAAGGTATCCTTAATTACCTCATCTTCACCTAGAATGTTATACATAATCGCAGCTGGAGTTATCATTGATGGATCACCGAGGGGAAGACCAAGGACTGCCCGCAAATGCTGCTCAAATTGAGAGGTCTTGCAAGACTCAATTGTGTAATGACCGCTATTATGAGGTCTAGGAGCTACTTCATTCAGTAAAATCTGTTAAAAGAAAAGAGATAAGCAGTACATTAGTCCCAGAGTCCAAAAGAATAAAAATGCTAATAACATGATTTCTTTTATTTAACAACAACGTTAACATTGATGATACAACCTGACCATCTTCTGTCAGAAACAGCTCTACAGCAAAAATGCCAGCACCTTCCAGAGAGCCAACAGCTTTGTACGCAACATCAGTTGCAAGTTTCTTGATCTCCCATGACACGTTAGCAGGAGCTTTGACAATGTGACATATATTTTCCCTACAAAGATAAGTTTTCTAAATATTTTTTGTTTCAAAACCAGCTTTCATTCGAAAAATACAAAATGACCGACAAAACAACAGCCTAGAAAGAGCGCCCAAAACTAAGCTAACTAATGCGATGTCTAAATGCACAGTAGTATAACATCAATACAACTAGTCTCACAATTATCTTTTCGTAAGAAACAATTTCGTTCATTTTTTATTTTACATTCGTGTGCCTGGGCCAGCTTGCGCACCTCGACTAATCACGGGACAACTGCCTGATGCTCTAACCCCAACCCTAGCCACCAGCCATGACCAAACATTTAATTAGGACTTGCCAGATTTGAATCTTTTGTGTTCTATCACTACACCAAACACTTACGTAATAATATCATGAAGTTTACAATAAATCTCACAAATTTATCATTTTCAGTGTTTACAAGGAGAAATGGAAGTTAGCAAGAAGCGATATGAAAGAACATATAAAAATCGGATCTTTCATCTTACTTATGAATAGTTTCAACAACAGGATAGCAAGCCATGGAGTTGTCTCTACCTCTTGCAACAACAACAGACAGTTCCTATCACACAAAAGGAAAGCAAAAGTCAGATGTCATCCTGAATAAATATATGCAAACAGAAACTTCATATGGTTAGGTCCAGCATTTCTACAACATATAAGAACAGCAGTGTAAATCTATCATCTTAGGGCTTTTTGGACTTCGCAAGGAGAAAACATGTGTGGGTATGAGGCATCTTTGTGCTTCAATAAAATGTGTAAGAGCCACTGCTTCATTCAAGTGAAAGGTCGCGTGTAGTGTAAATGTGATCAGAAGATTCCCTTGGTTTCTAAAATGGTGTAGTGACCAGTGATGATCACAAATGGTATAGCACAGCCAAGGGCCCCAAGCTTAAAAGAAAAGGGAGTGTTTTATTGGCAAGGTTTGAAAAGATGATACAATTTCCAACTTATCAAATACTGGACATATCTGTTCAAAGACTATGCAACTTTTTTTCATTTATCATATAGTCACGCATTCTTACACAATAAAAGAAAACAAAAAAACTGTAGATACTAGTATTTTATGACTCTCTCTTGGTGTAGATTCTATGCTCCTTTCAACAACTATACCTTAAATGCTTAAATTTTCTTTAAGCTAACTGGAAGAGCTTTTTTAATCTTCCTTGCTTGAGGCTTGGCTTTACTCTCAATGAAGTTTTTTGGCTTCTTATGGAAAAAAAAGGTTATATATAAGAAGATGAAAGCAATGAAGAATAGAGTGAATGATCAACCAGGCAAACAACATATGCTAAGAACTAACCTTCACAAAAGGTGCCCACTTCTCGACATATAAGCCACGCTCAAATCCACCAAGAGCTGCACATATTGACAAGTTTATAAGAAATTAGAAAAGGGAATAATTATATTAGATAAAATAATATGGAAATTTTAAAACTAAAGCCTCAACTAACACAAGTAAAAGAAACAAATGGATAAAATCCCTGATTGCATAGACTCTCAAACAAATTACTACAGATATGAATAAAAGATATAACACAAGTTATGTGACTGTTTTTAATAATTGCATAAATTAGATTGTTATATTGCATAATATGATTACTATATCGCACTTTAAATATTTAATAAGGATCTGAAATAAAAAATTACATATCAGATATATCTCACCAGAAATGGCAGAAGAAAGCTCCTCTGCACTTTTTGCAACAGCATTTCCGCGTCCATCATAAGCTAACCTTTTGCTCTTAATCATGAGAGGATAACAAAATATGTCACCTGCTTTCTTTGCACCTTCAAGATCATTGATCTGTCAAAGACACCATTAATGGTCAATAAGTTATCTGCTACTATTAAACATAAATATAAGGGCAAGCATAGCAACACTATTGAGGAGAAATTCATGCAGAGAATATAACCTGCATAAACTCAGGCAGTGGAATTCCATGCTGAGAAAAATGAACTTTTTGGAGATATTTGTCCTGAAACATAATAGATGATAAAGGATCAGAAGTAATAAGCAAAATCGTAGACAGTTGATTTCAATCTCTGAACAACATAACGGTGGAGGTCAGAGGATCTAATCTTCTTGAGCAGATTGCAAGGACAATTTGGTATGTGTAAAACAAATAAATTAGTCAGTATTTGAATTGATGTCTAGAAGACTAGTACTGCAAGATATCTAAGATGTAATTAAGAATTCCACTTAACAGCGCTATAAGCAAACTATTGGCTAGAAGCTTCTTTAAAGGGGTATGTATTATGTATTTCTCTATTTCCATAAAGAGGTAGCCATCATTCATCAGGTTCCCATAATTAAAGGTTGACTGAAAATCTTAGAATTCACAAGTAATTTTTGCACTTAAAATAGAGATGGCTTTCAAAACCAAATGTACACCTGAAGAAAGACATACCTGAATTATACGGATGGTAGATGCTCTAGGTTGACAATCAATTCCTTGCTGCTCAAGAATCTCTAGCGTGGCAACATCAACGTGTTCAATTTCAACTGTTAATACTTCACATCTAACTACCATGAACGGAATTTGCAGTTACTACCATAAGCATTCAAGGGATGAAAATCCATGAAAACAATGCCAAAAAAAGAATGTTATGACCTGTAGATGATGAACGTCAAAAATATACCTCTTAGCAAATTCTTGAACAGTAGTACTATCATCAAAGTTACCAACCATGTGATAGTAAGCTAACGAACTAGCAGGGCAGTTTACAAGAGGATCGAGAATTGCAATTTTGATAGACAATTTAGAGGCAGCTTGACATAGCATACGACCCAGTTGGCCCCCGCCTAGTACACCAATAATTTTTTCGGAAACTCCACGTACAGGAGCTTCATCTTTTCTGCAAGATAATACCACAGAAGAGATTCTAGTTAAGTACTATTGCATTCTCATTTGTTCAGAATGTAGGGGTGGGGGGAAAATACACGCAAACACTCTCTCCGAAAAAAAAATATTCGAAAAGGTGCCGTGAATTGAAAATAAACCTGGGAAGAGTGTCGTTAGAATGAAGTGATGCACGGCAGTGTAAGGTCTGATTCTTGCGCTGCGGCTGCTGCTGAGCCATTTTTAGCAGTGAAGGGAAACTATGACATGGGATGATGTTTGAATCAACAAACCAGCTCAAATCTTTAATTCTTCGCGAAGATAGAGAGGGTGCACGTATAATATCCGAAACTAATACATAATTTGGGCGGCTCGGTGAAGCCATCCAGAAACTGGATAGTATCATATCGAAAATTTAAGCCAACGAAAAATAAAATACTCTCACTTCTACGTACAGTATGGCGGAATGTAGTGACTCGGCAACAATATCCCGCAGTCTATTGACCCCGAAATTTAACAACGAATTGAGCAGAGAAGCGGGAGATACTGAAGTTGGGATATTGAGTTCCGAATTGAACAAAAAAGACACACAGTTGCAATGGGAGATGACAGAGTAGCCAAAGACAGTTTGGGATGATTTTTCTGAGAGGCAAACTACAAGAAATGATGAAGAATCTGAAACTCCGATAGATTCAGAAACTCCAAAACTGGTGGCGGCCAAGAAAGACGGTAGTACTGCGGAGCGTGTTTGCAGATGCTTTGGCCGGACAGTAAATATACGGCTGGTCTCTGTGTTCTCTGCTTTTCCTCCCTCAATTTAACGCAATTGAAATGAAAGTGGTGTTGCACATCGGTTCGGTTTCCACATTGGAATGTATTCGGTTTTTCAATACGAACCAACCATTGTCCAGTTAGGCGCTGAACCTATTGGTTCGACTTCTCAGTTACGGCACAAGATCGGAGATTGAGGTCACGCTTGGGTCTCTGCCGAAGATCGATCAACGAACCGGAGCCGGAGCCGCGTCAGTGGTAGGGACGAGAGAGCGGCGCGAAGTCTTGAAGGGAGAAACGCACGAAGCGAACGAACGGGTCTGAGGGAGAAACTCGCGACGGCGGCGGGAGGAAGGGACGACGGCGTGAATAAAGGTCTAGGGTTTTATGCTATTATAAATCACTTCGGTTCGGTTTTAAATTCGGTTTTAAAATCTAAACCGAACCGTAAATTTTCGGTTTTCTGAATAAACCGATATGGGCTTGGGTATGGGCCTTGGCCTTGTACTGTTGCTATAACTATAAGACCCTACTGGAAATTTGTTTCATATGGGATTTCGATTTTCGCGCGCCATCTCTTCTCCTCCCGGTCTCTTCCTCTCTCTCTTCTGTTTCTGTAGAAATTCTTGTTCTCTGAAAATCAGAAATGGCAAATTTGTCACAGAGCGATGCTAATCGAATGGCTGGAAATCAAGTGAAGGCGAAAAATTCTGGTACCTTGTTCTTAACTGTCTAATTGGTTTGAATTGTGTGTTATTTCTTAGAAAGCTGAATATGTCTTGATCGGATGCAAATGCTGGACAGATAGAATTTCATAACTGAAAAGCAATGTGGAACTCTCATGCTTGCTCTAGGCATGGGGATGTGATACCATTTGACAAACAAATAAACAAACAAACATACAGGAAATATGATTTTCGAAGTTTACAAAGACGATTTTAAAGGATTATGCTTCTAGTAAGTTAAAGTTAGTTCACTTGTTTTAAATTTGCACTGTCGCTCGATTTCTGCTTCGATTGTTTGTACTTGTCTTTGCTGATTATTTCCGAGAGAACAAAGATCTATCTCCTTCGAACTGTAAAATGCATGTGCTCCAGAAACTCCTTATGAAAAAATTTTTGCTAGCATTTACGGTTTTTATGTTAATCTAAGCGGGGGGGAAAAATCGATACAACTGTCATCGTCTTAACTTTAATCCGACTAGCATTATCACAAGAGCACTCATGATTTAATGCTTTTCTTCACGAGACATTAGGCAACTTGCTGGGAACCATAATTTCACATCATCGAGCTTCCAATCTTAATGGTAGCACATACTTAAAACATGATCGAGTGTGCTATCCAGTGTTTGGATATTGTCGTGTCCCCCCTCTCTTTTCCTTGTTTCCTTTTTTAATTTTCGAATTGGCTAAATAATTTAAAAGAAAGATGATCCTGATGGTTAGAAAACCTGAATGGTGCGTTCATAAACGCGGACTTGGTGTTGTCATGTGAATGTTTTAAATGTTTGAAAAAGCACTAGAGTGGTAAATTGGAGTCATACGTTCGTTTCACACATGCAGATGGTGGGGTTTGTTTGATGAGCAACGTATGGAGAGATGAGCAACATCCATCTTTCATCAATTTTATGTCAAATTTCCTAAGCACAAACTCATTTCGCCTCAACTTTGTTCCAATTGCCCCAGTAATTTCCTTTTTACTTTCTGGTTTTGTAAATTTCTGTGACGACCCTTCTGTGCTGATATCAATCACTTGCAGGACTTGATATTCAATTGTGGGGGTCTATCAGTGGCTTTTGCTTTCGTGACAAGTTGGGACTGCAGCAATACATCATCGATCTTCAGCAGGTAGTATGGTCGTTGTTTATGGTTATTGCTGGTTTTGCTCTTCGTAGTGTTTGATTAAGTCGGCTATTGACAGAGTGCAAAAGTTGAAGAAGCAGTTTGCAAATTTCTATGCTGTTGTTGCCCTTCCAACCAAGGAGCAGAATGATTCATTTGTTAAATCTTACTTCAGGTAATTGAGTCTAGTATCTTGACTGATTCCTCACTTTATTTTTATTTTTGTTTTTTTAGAGAACTTATGTGTCTTTTTTTTTCCCTAATATTGTTGAGAAATGGCATGGAGATTGGTAAGCCACCATTTTTACCAGTTCAGGATATTGAGATGGGCTTTGAGAAGATTGTAAAAATAGCACACTCTCGTGGAGGTAGCAACCATCTTAACTTTAGGTTGATTAATTTCTTTAATAATCTTCAATAATTAGGTCCAATTACAGCATGCAAGCAACAAGATGTCATGTCAAAACTGAGGACTGAGGTTGGTTGGTGTAGATTATATTCTACTTGAATTAGTCATGACAATTCAATATTTAGGGTCATAGTGTCCCTTTTACAAGAGTTTTAATCACCATCACCCCCTTTTGGGGCTCTTGTTGAAGAGGAAGAGATCAGTGCAAGACATGGATGCTTTTCGTAGAGTCATAACTTCTGTACCAGGCATTGATGATCATGATGCAAATTCAGTAAGTTTACTTGAACAAAACCTACACACATTCTTTATTTCCTGCATTGTTTTCTTATTTTTTCCACTCATCTTCATAAATATCTCTGATATAATCTAGAAATTGTTCTCGCTTGAGTAATAACTATGACCACCCAAGTAAAGGTGATTGTAGCATGTATCTTTTACTTGTATATGATATTGATTTTGAGACTGAAGATATATACATCGACTGATGGAAATATGAAGTTTTCATCTCCCATTCTAGGTTGTGTTCTCATATTTTTCTTGCATCACTCATCAGAAGGCCTTTATCACAATATTTTGCGATTGTCATATTCTGAATAATGTAACATCAGTTATTTTCCGATAGGTAGTAATATTTAAATATTTAGTTTATGCTTATGATAGTGTTTTTGCAACTTTATCTTGCACTAGAATTTGGCGTGCAGTTTTCTCTAATTGCAAGTTCGGTCCAAAATGGTTCTTTTCCCCCAACATTTCTGCGATAAATGATAATTACATTACGAGCTTAACTAGATTGTAGCAAGCTTAAGGGGCTTACGGATGAAAGTATTCATGGTACCAAGTCTTGTGAATCAAAACATATGAGGTGCCAAACAGTGGGGGAAATATGATTATATTTCTTGTGCATGTAAGGTTTTATTTGAACATTCTTATGTCGACGATCCTACTCTTCAGCTAAATCAAGCTATTGGTTCAATTGAGGCAATCGCCAAAGCATCCAAGGAGTACATTTTGGAGAACACAGATCTGTCAGCGGACAAGGCAGAGAGAATTAGGGCCTTTTTCAGGGATCCGAAGTTCTACCTCAGTCCCAAAATAAATTGACATTGGAAATCTCTCTTTGATCTCGGACGAAATCCGCGGAAGAGTTACGAGGTCAGTCATACTTTAACATTGCTTTTATTACCTATCCTGCATTGGAATTCATAGTTTGGGTTTGAGAGAACCCTTAAACAGTGGAGCTTGAAAGGTTGCCAATCTTTACGCACACGCACACCCAAAGAAAAAGCAAGGAAAAATAGAAAAATCAAATAGAAGTGTTAAGTTGGTACCCACATTCAACATGGGAAATGTCAATCTCTGCATTCCTGGTTGGCTGGTGGCTATCATTAGAATGGCATGTGAACTAAAAACTCTCTATAAGCAAATTAAAATTGAACAGATTAGCAGTTCCTAAGCGTATTGCGTTTACACGAGCCTTTCTAGCAAGGTTTTAAACATAGACGAGAGGATAAGAACAGAGAGAGGGAGAGAGAATCTCTGAGTTGCTGTTTGCTAATATAATATCCACTTTAGGAATGTGTACTCAAGTTTGACTCAGTTTAAACTGTTGACCCATTCAGATTAGTTTCATACATAATTTGACGTGGAAATATAAATCCTAATTTATACCTGTGCCGGCTTGTCGTTTGTTTGGATTGAGTCTCCTTCCATTTGCCTATGCCGAACCACATAACAAATATCATCCAATTTTTGCCGTGGCATATTGGGTTTACCACGTAAACATGGATTTGGATAGAGTCAATCCATGCAATAATTTGAGGTCTGGGTTGGGGTTCTGCTGCTACCAATTAATTATAACTTTGCTTTTTGGATTTCAAAAAAAAAAAAAAAAATTATAACTTTGCTTTTTCTCCATCATTTTTTCTTTTGAAATAATTTTAAATCCTATTTTATCCCGACTTTTTCGTAGGTTTTTTTTGTTAGTACAATATTAGAGAATAGATTTGAACTCACGACCTCTTGATTTAGATTTGAGGCATATGTCAGTAACCGCTGAGCTCGTTTTGGCACTTTTATTTGGTTTGGTTTTGATCTATTTTAGTTTTAAAATTTTGCCTAAACTATCTTAATACTTATCCTTAGCTTTTCATTGCTTAATAAAAAAAATTAATTATATTTTAAAACATAATTACATGTTGAAATTTTTGTTACATACGAGACTTTTTACTCATAAGGTAAACAAATAAAAAAGGCATTTTACCTAATTTTTTATTAACCGAAGTTCAAGAAATGATTTTAAATTATGTGATTTGAAATTTAGTAAATGGTTTTAAATTATTTATCTGGTTTGGAACAAATAAAATTAAACTGCTTTATTTCGATATTCACTAGAAAGGAAAAGAAAATAAAAATTTTCTTAATTTAAGTTTTTAATCTAAATTTATTAATTGAAAATTAAAAAAATGATAATATTAAATAAGTAATTTACGTAGAAACACCTCAGATCATTCAAAATACTGAAGTACCAAATAGAGTATAAAGAATTTTTTAAAATAGTTTTTTTTTTGTATTTTTGTATTTTTTTTGCCAAATTACAAAATAGTTAATGATAATTATTAAAATAGTTTTTCAATGTTAAATTCGGGTACCGAAATGGGATGTTTAATAAATAAAAGACAAATATCGAGAAAAAGGCTATATTTGAGGACCTGGACGGTGGATCCTTCGGATGGGGGCTAATTTTATAAATAATATAATTTAAAAAATAAATTACAAATTTAAGGTGGATTACAAACTAAAATTAAATAAAATAATACAAATCCAAAATAGGGTACATTCCAAAACTGTTGACAAAATTAGGGTGGTTATGATTAAAGTCAAAACTCGTGAACAACGTCCACAAGTTACACGTGTCCGCTTGAATCTTATGTGGTAGGAGGATAGTTGGACTGATAAATCGTGTACATTATATGCGGTTTGAGGGAACTCGTGTACAATGTACATGATTTACCTAGAAATCGGTACATTGTACATAATTTGAGGTAAATCATGTACATTATACATGAGTTTTCTCACGTTTTCACCAAGAAAAAAAAATATATATATATATATATGGAATTCGTGTACATAGTGAAATATTGTACATGATTTCCTACCTGGCTCGGACTATTTAGCTACTCTACATTTGCAAATAGTCTCAAATTTACCTTATTTTTGTTGTTTTTTTTACATTATCTAAAAAGAAAAAAATCCTTGAGATGGTCCAAAGTGCGAGAAGAAGACAGCCTCAATCTCTAAACTTTTAAAAGTAATACTTTTAGTACTTAAAATTTGTAAAATAATTCTAAATTAGTAAATAGTCAATAATATATTTTGAACGGTTAGTTCACTAATATTAAAATAAAATGATGTGGTAGTAAAGTTGTTGATTTAATGTAATATAATAATTTATAATATTTTTATTATTGTTAGACTTGTATTTCCTTCTCTCTTCCTTTTCTTTCTCCGTTTTCTTTCCTTCTTTTAAGGAATGAGATTACACACTTTTAAAAATCAAATTACCACACACTTTTAAAAAATCAAATTATCATGAATTTAATTATTATTATTTGATTCTCATTCTCTTAAGGTAGACGTGGCCTAAACTTTAAGTGTTAATGTAACACTTAGTAATTAACATAAAAAGATAAAAAGGTAAGGAAATATCAAAGATATTAATAACTTGATATCTATTAAAAATGATAAATATGAAAATTTCTAAAAAAAAATGATAAATATGAAAATATTTAGACTAAATATATTAGATGGACCTTAATTTTTAGTAAATTTTCTATGGGGTTTTTAATCTTTTAAAATTAACTTTTTATAATTAGTTTAAAAAATTGTTTGTATAGATATTAGTAAAATAAAAAATATTAATAAATAAAAAATCCTGAAAAAGTTTATTTCAAATGGAATACAGAAACTTAGTTATAAATATTAAAAAAAAATTATATATATATATATATTTATATTTATATTTTGTCCAAAGACTGGAATAAAACATCTGAAAGCATTTGGCCCTTGAATAAATGTAATGTTTGATTTTTTTTTTTCCAAAAAATATGTGGCTTGTATTGACATGTAAAATTTTATTTGAATCAAACATAAATGCCTCCTTTTATGAATCCAAAATTTAAGTTTAGGGTCTCTTATGTGTAGTAAATTATAACATAGTCAAAAAAAAAATTGAACTGTATTTTTTAGATTGTAATTGGGTTAGTATGCACTATTCTATCAAAAGAATAATATATAAGGGAATGCGCATCTCGTCCCACCTACCACTCTTGTTCAGTATATAGTATATTAAGTAGGATATATAAACACATGACACATCGCTGTATTTAGATATTAAATTCTTATTGATTATAATGGATACGACCGACTAATGTCGGCTTGGCCTGAATTCTATGTCCAAACCAGACCAAGTCAACTCAATAGAAAAAGAATAGAATCCCCTTTTGGGTGGGCATGAGGAATAATATTCATCTGCTTATTAAATAATTATCTTCTATTTACCGCCACTACAAAATTGACCTATAAAAAATTAATAGAATAGAAAGAACAAATAGTTGTTAAATTTTTAATTATGATAAATATGAAAAAATATATAATAAAGACTTTTTTATTTTTTAATGGTGGTAAATATGTATATTTCTAGTAAAAATATTATTCATTCGTGAATCACCGAGTATCACTAAAGTTTAATAGACCAATCAATAAATAATATTTAGATGTTTATTGATTTTTTTTTTCTTTTTTGAAAAAGTAGTAAAGCAACAAACTAAAAGAGACTCAAATCAATTTTGACCACAGTTAAGCCATTTAGGAAAGTATGACTCCGTAACGACATTTTCCTCCATCTTGCATGTATTGTACGCGTAGATGGTTCATGACTCATGAGGGATAGTTAGAGCTCCAGCTCCATCAATAAGTAATTTTTACTTACCACCGTTAAAAAACTTATCAGCAAAAAACTAAAAGAGATTTAAATCAATTATGGCCACAGTTAAGCGACATTTCCCTCCAATTTGCACTCCTTGCAATCTCATGTGTGCGTAGATGGTTCATGACTCATGAGGGATAGTGCTCCAGCTCGACCAATAAGTAATTTTTACTTACGACCATTAAAAAAACTTATGGACAGTTATTAGAATAAATAGATATCAATCTACTCAAGAGTTAAAAAGATCTAAATATTATTTTAAAAATTACCCACAAAATATTATCCCAAAATTACCAAGCAAATCAAATCAAAGGGCTTTTTAAAGGCTTCCAGTTCCACCCTCCATTTTAATTTGTGATCATCATTGTAAATTGTAAGAGCCACAGGCTGAGCCTGGGGGAGCTTGAAATTGAAACATTCAAAAGCTCACATTGATTGCTAAATTGTGCTTCACGCTTTCACATGATTCTTCTCTCTTCTTCATCGTCTTCCCATTTGACCCGTCAATTTCCATTTTTGCCTCATTTCTTCCTTCTCTGCTTCTCCATTCCCATTCTCTCTTCGCAATTCCGTTTTAAGCTTTCTTTCTATATCTTCCAATGTTGGATTTACAAGAATTCTTATGGGGATTTTCCATTCTCTCTCTGCTTCTTTGTTCTGTTCGCGGCCTCACAAAAGCTCTTCACATGCCCCTCTCTCTCTATTCTCCTTCTTCCTCTGGTCTTACCCCTCATATTTCGTGGGTCAGGCATCTCCTCCATGGGACCACTGAGAATCCCTCCAACGCCTCTGCACTTTTGGAGCCGCAACAGAACGCTAACAAAACATCTCCTCTAGACCTGGTCCGCGACCAACCACAGGAGATCAAGAAGAGCGAAAAGTTGAAGGAAGGCTCCGATTCTTTATCAATGGTCAAAGCCAAGGGCTTTGGGCCTCCTCATAAGTTGCGGAAGAGACCTGCAAAGCTCGTGGTGCCGGAATATTGTCCCGCACTGGAATTTTCCAAACTGAGGAAGAAAATCGAGAATCAGGAATTCCAAGTCCAAGGCAGAGATTACTGTTTGGCCACCAAGAAAGGAAGGCGAGAAACCTTGGAAGATGCCTACGGAGTCATGCTTGATATTCTCGGAGATTCTAAACAGGTAATTAACTTGGTTATTAATTTTAATATTTCTTCTGATTCTAATCCGATCAAAGACATGAATGAATTCATCTTCGGTTTTTTTCTGGAGGCTGATCGCACATATATATAAATCAAAATGAAAAGCAGGCTTTCTTCGCTGTAGTGGACGGCCATGGCGGTCGCAATGCAGCGGATTACGTAGCCGAAAATTTGGGGAAGAACGTTGTTAACGCTCTTGAAAAATTTGCCGGAGACGAAGAAAACGCAATCGAATCGGCGATTCGCACAGGTCACAAACGCACAGACGAGGAGTTTCTTAGTCAGGTCAGGTAACAATTGATTAAACTTTCAAACAATTTTCTAGGGCAACCGAAAATTCGACTAAAACAATTGCCCTACGTCCGATTCGCAGGGCGTCGGCAGTGGAGCCTGCGCGGCGAGCGTGCTGGTGAAAGACCGCGAGATTCATGTCGCGAACGTGGGAGATTGTCGAGTGGTGTTGAGCAGAAACGGCGTAGCGACGCCATTGACGAATCAGCACCGTCTGTGTCGAGAAGACGAGCGCCTCCGGATTGAGAACTCGGTGAGCGAAATGAAATCGATAAATCTAATCTCCGGTTCCGTTGCATTGATTGCGGTGATCTGTAAAGTTGAATTGGCTTTGCAGGGAGGGTTTGTGGACTGCAGAAATGGAGTGTGGAGAGTTTCAGGGTCGCTTGCGGTGTCGAGGGCCATAGGAGACCTGCATTTGAAAGAATGGGTGATTTCAGAGCCTGAAATCCATCGTCTTCCTCTAACTCCTGATTGCGAGTTCTTGATAATGGCTTCCGATGGACTGTGGGATAAGGTACGTTCAGTTCACACACCATCTTCAGTTCAAAGTTCAAACAAAAAAATTATCATTGTTTTCTTTTCTTGTGTGAGAAGTTGAAACTGAGAAGGAGAAAGTTTCAAAGTGGGAGACGACTTCCCCAACATTATTCTTTTGCTTAGTCAAGAAGAAACAGCCATGCATTATAATAATATTCACAAAATCATCATTCATTCATACTCTCCTATTCAAACCTTTTATTAGGGAAATCAGATTTTCGCCCTACCATTAAAAATATTGATAATCATTCTTTTTTAAAAAAGGTTTGTTTTTACATTTTTCCTTCATATTTTCCTTTATTAAGGATAATTACTTCTCAAGTGCTCATAGCCACCGTGGTGTGTGTGTTTTTTTTTTTTTTAATATTTAGGTCGATGAAGACTTATGTTTATAATGTAGAAAGAAAGAGAAAATATAGGTTTTTCTTTTAAAAAAAATATATAAATAGTTCTCAACTTTTTAATTATGGTCAATATGATATAGAAAATACTTGCAGACTGATTCATTTATATTATTGAAAACTCATCGACATTAATAATGTTTGATTTTACATTGTTGACGTGTGTAGTTATTTTTAAAACTTTGAAACATTATATTTTAATCTCTCAATTTTTTTATAAAAGCAATTATTTTACTTTCTTTATGGTTGAATTTTTAACAATTTATCTTAAGATAAATTTGACATAGCATATCTTGGGCTCATACATCTGAGGTATTTACAAATGTTTAAGTCATAAATGGTGGATTATTAGGTATCCAAATTTCATATAGGTTTGGAGTTATTATTAGATAATTAATAAAAAAAATTAATGACTTAAAATAACATATTTGAAAATTAATTAAGAGACACAAATATGAAGTTTGAAAATTGATGGACCAAAATGAAATAATAAATAAAAAAAATTGTGAATTTAGAAAATGAAAAAGAATAATCTAAACTAAAGTAAAGGGGTGGGTTGAATTGCAGGTAAAAGATCAGGAGGCGGTGGATGAAGTTGTGAGGGCGAGAGGAATGGGAATAACGGAAGAGGCAATGAATGCGTGCAAAATGCTACTGGAAATGTCATTCACAAGGGGGAACATGGATGATGTTACGGTCATGCTGGTTCATCTCCAACACTTCATTTCCATTTAGTAAGTTAATTAATTATTTAATTAATAAAATTGCATCACACTAAAGATAAAGCTCAAACCTACTGGTGATCCCTTCTCCTTACTTAATTTCCTCAACGCGATCATCATCCTTCATATTCATTTTTCCCTTAGAACCTAAGTTTCATTTGTGTCTACAATTTTGTAGCAACAACACCACACCCTTCATTTTTCTTTCCCCTTTTTCTTTTTGCTGGACTGTACATATTATACTGGATACTACCATTACCTGTCTATTCCAAATGGGTGTTTTTTGTGTATGCAAGTAAGAATTTCAACCTTTCACTTGTGTAAAATATTACTATTACTAAATGACAAATACTCAGGTTGCAATTTTTCCTTATTTTAATTATGATGTCATAATTGATGTATTCCAAACTAAATCTACTATCATGTCATGCATTAGAAACCCAGTTTCTAAATAGGCCCAAGACAGCAGGTACTAGTCATGGCCTAATAACTGGTCGCCAAAGAGGCTCTGGCCCAATTCTAAGATAAGCCCAGCCCAATCCAATAAAATTAAGAACAAGTATAACAGATTTCCCTTTAATAATCTCTACGCTCTCTTCTCCATTTCAATCAAGCACATTGTACCTATTATCCATAAAGGTTGACGATTTCTCACCCTAAAACGGTTGAACTGAAAATATATATATATATATATACATATACACCACCCTCACCCTCTATGTCTTTAAATCTATATTCTATATTATATTAAAAAGGAGCATCTTGAAAAAATATTTTTACACCACTATATTTATTTATAGATTTTTAAATTAGTAAGCATGTCATTTTTTTTTTTACTTTAACTGGAATTAATGGAATTGAAAAGTATCAGGATCTCAAAATTTTTCTAACTTATATCCGTCCTCTACATGTATATATATGAGTTCTTCACTACTTTATCCTACAACAATTTAACTCTCTCTCTTAGTTTGCTTATTTTCATTTCTTAATTCATTCTTTTAAATTTTATAGATATAAATTTAGTAGTGTCATATTACACAATAGCTTAGCACATCAAATGTCTCGATTTATAAGAGTTGCAGGATAATGTTGCTTATAAGTAGAGGTCGTTGAATTTTACAATGCAATTTGATCTCAAACACCAATTAGAGGGAGACAATATATCTTTGAAAAATTCAGGTATTGAATCTTTTATGTAAATGTTATAAATTATTTTACGATTAGTATTGTTATTATTTTCTATTAAAAAATTTGAGATTTAATTATTACTAAGTTTTTAAATTTATATATGTAATTTAATTTTTGTTAATATTTTGCTTTGTCATGTTCTATAGATAAATAGTGATATTTTTAAAACTTTGTATTTATGTTAGTGAAAAAATAAATAAATAAAATATTATGTGCATCTGGACGTGGTAATGCATTAGCAAGTCTAAAGTTAGTGCATATGTAACAATAAAGCTGCGAATTGAGCAAGTTTTTAATCGAGTATTACGATTTCTGAGTAGAGAGGAGAGGTACATGAATGAACTGATACCACATTCGAATGAGAAGGATCTTGAAATCATGGAATAATGGTCAATAAAGATTTAAAATAATTGTTAGACACTACCTATACTAATAAGGTGCACATTCTATTTTGGTAACTCAATTGTAAGAATTTCAAAGTTAAACCTGCTTGACTTAAAACCATCTTCAGTTGGGTGACCTTCTAGTTGCAGAACGAGACAATGAAAATGCAAAAGAGGAGCAAAGATTTCCGACCCAGAACATGTTATTGACTTAACCACAAATACCTCGAATGAACCAAATCCGGATTCTGAATCCTGGACATGGAGCGTTACACGTATATTATTTTAATTTTTATAAAAGTAAAAAAATACAATCATGGTTTTACTAAAAAAATATTATAAGTTCAAAAAATCAATAAAATATGTTGTATGCTATAAACTATGATGAATAAATTAATTGAAAGCATAATATATATTTTAGTTTAACCTTTGTGGGTAGAGATCGAATAATTAATTTTTGAGATGATAATAAGTACATTTATCTACCAAACTAGGTTCAAATTCATTTCTTGAACATAATATATAAAAGTATATATAAAATTGAAAAACTACTGTATGCTTCTCAACAAATACTTGTTAATTTAACATATCGCATTATTATTTAATTCTTCATTGGAAAAAAGAATATATATTTAATCATAATTAACTACCCAAATTAAAATAGGTGGTCAAAAAAGTCGATTGATGTAAAAAAAATACTCGAGGAAAAAATGATCTCCTTTAACCTTAATGATAATATTATTAGCTATTGATTTTTACAAATTGGAAGTGGTTAAAACTTGTGGAAGAGTAGTGTGCAAGTTTTTGTCTGTGTCCCTTTTTTGTTTTTTCATTTTATTATTTTTACCACTACTTCAAAGAATCTCCGAGTTTCATAACTTTTCACGTATTATTTTGAAATTAAATATCAAAATTCGACGAAAAAGAAAAGATGCTGTACTTTTAATCGTTTTGGTTTTGGCTACCAACCAGCGGCAGCCGGCAGCCATAAAACGGAACCTGAATCCGTAAAACCCTAATAACCACCTCGCAAAAATCCATTTCTGAAAACGTACTCCAAGGCTCAAGGCTTTTCCTCCATCAATCCCTAATGGCAGACCCTTCTGAGGTCTCCGTGATTACGCTTGGAGGAAAGGGTTCATCGCTTTCATCTAGCTCCGTCTATGCCATTGCTCATGGCTTCGCTCTGGTTCGGATCGACTCATCGGCCCTCGAAAGGCTTTCTTCTTCGTCGAACAGCCGAAATGCTGCATCTACCAAGCACCAGGTCTTCATTCCCAATTTTCTAACTCGCGAAGAAGCCAGGGCGTCCCTTGCTGTCCTTCTGAACAAGCTCATCATCTCTAGTTCTTCCGGAATTCGATCGGTTATTCCTGTTCTAATTGCGGAGACACTCAACTCAAAACCGGAAACTTTACAATTTGAGTCGCTTGACGTGACCGACGAGGAGTTATCCGTGTTCAAACAATCGTGTTATGTTTTGAACGGAATTTGCGCGTTGTTGGACCATCAATCAGCAGCACTATCTTCCATTGCCGATGCTGTAGCTGCCATATCTTGCGAGGCGTCTAGAGCTGACGTGTCTGCGTTTGGTTTGATGGACTCGGGTGATGGGTTCGCTTCAAAGGAGGAGGTTGGAGTCGCCAATGATATGAAGGTATTGCTCAATGGATCTAAGCTGGTGGGTAAGATCGAGATTGGAGCTTTCTCGAAGATTCCAAAGAATCATGGATGCTTGAGAGAGCAAGCGAAATTGGTGCACTCGAAAATGCGGGTTGAGTTGAATTCTTGTATGAAATTCGGGAAAGGGGGATCTTTGAGCTCTGGGACAGAGGATTCAGTGCGGACCGCATTGTTGTCATTTGCCGCCGTGCTGTGGGACTTGGGAAAATGTAGTTTGTACAGAGGAAAGTTGATTTTGAGTTCGAACAGCAATGAGAATGTAAAGGCGAGTTTGGTGGGTTTGCTTGATAGGGAATGCCCCAGTAATGAGAGTCTCAAAAAGGAATATAAGTTGGTCTCCGAGTTGGCTCTGGATGACCAGTACGATGAGTTTGTCCATACTGTGAATGTGTTGTTGGTAACTGTATGGAAAATTGTCGCTTGGGAGGCTATAGCAGCTTTTTTGACGATTGAAGGTGGTGAATTGTTAGGAAAGGGTCAAGACGTTGACATAAATGAAGTCAATGAGAAGGTGGTAAAAAAGAATGAGAAGAAAAAGAAAGCAGTCTTGGGTAAAGGGACTAGTGTGGTTGTTCAGTTAATTAAAGATAGACTGCAGGGTAAAGGTGGGGGTGCTTCTGCTGGGGGTCTGGGGTCATTGGAGAACTCAGTAAAAGATCTTTTATCGTTTTTGGATCCAAAGGCTTCCGAGTTTGATAATCTATTGAAGAAAATCAAAGAGATAGTTGAAAGCAACGAAAGTAGGAGGCTACCAAAGCTTCCCAAGGTAATGACTTACTTCAGAGCTTTACCTAAATTCCTAGTCATTTAGCCATCCTCCCTTTGTTTTGGTAAGGAAGTGGAATGTCGTTAGAAGAATATTATCAGCCTTTGTTTAATGCTGCAACATAGTTTGGATACAATAATAATGAAATTCTACTTAATGAAAATTAGACTTTACTAATTAGTTAGAAAAGTTCGTTTTACCTAATTAGTAACTAATTTTTCATTCGTCTTAATGAAAAGTTCATTTCTTATAAAAAAAATAAAAAATAGAAAAAATAATGAAATTCTACTTTTACTATCAGTTAAAAAATGTTAAATCAATAGACTTTACTAATTAATATTGACATTTTATACATCATTATACCAGTTGAAATTGTTGGAACATGTAGACATGATATACATACTCATAAACCAAACTGCAGAATAGTGATAATTCTAATTTTTTGACTGCGAACTTCTGATATTATCCTTTATTATATTAGTTTAGTTTCAAACCACAGTGGGCAGTAGTTGACGTGTGCATGCTTTAGGTTTTCTATGAAAGGAGAAAAAAAAGGAAAACTCTATTTTTTTTTAATCACGGTAGCAAGTACATAACATATGTGCTTACTCTTTCTTTTTCTTCCTTTTTTTTGGGTAAGAATCCAACTCTTGTTAAGAATATTTGCGTGCTTTTGGTTTTTCTTTCTCTGTAATCAACTAATCAGTAGTCGTGCCATTCAACTTCATTACAATCTAAAGGGTATTTGTATTGTATATATTATTATTTATGGATAAGACCAGAGGCACATCTATTGAAAGATAACCTGTACTTGTAGAAAAAATTAGCTTTATCTCTTCTGTGCTTAAGTAACATTTCTTTTATTAATATTAATATTTTATGAACAGAGTGGAAAAGCTCTTGTTTCTTTCAGGAATCTTAATCTATATAAGAAGATAGAAAGTGAGTCATTCTTTCTCATTTGGAAGGATAAAGCTATAGTATTTGCCATTAGCCATTATTTTATTTGTTTATCTATTTCATGCTTTTGGTAACGTTTTTATCTTTTGATTTGATTTGATTTGATTTGATTTTACGCCCTCTGTCTATCTTGAGTAAGGTGTTTGTTGTTTTAACTAAATAATGTGTTCTTACATATTAGGGCACTCGTGATTTTGCGAAAGAACAAATGGCAATTAGAAAGAAAGCATTTTCAATTATAGAGGGGGTTTTTGAGCGGCATGGAGCCACAGCCTTGGATACTCCAGCTTTTGAGTTGAGAGAAACTCTCATGGGGAAATATGGAGAAGATTCCAAGCTGATTTATGATCTGGCTGATCAGGTTATAATAGATGTTATTACTTGT